AGCAGAATCCGCAAACTTTTCAATCTCTCTAAAGAAGATGATGTCCGAAAATATGTTGTGAGAAAGCCTTTAACCAAAGAAGGTAGGGGATATTATGACATTTAGGGCTTGCTTAATTTGGTTATTAGCCTGTCTCTAGTGTTTTGAGTTCTTGTTAGAACAAAATCTGCTTACAACTCACCTGGAGATTTTAGGAAAATATTGGAGGGACATGACATTTGTTGGTATTAATCCTTGTTACATCCAATGCCTTCTAGCTAGAGTTATAATTTTTCTTGAAAAATTTCCTGGTAGTAATTGATGTATGTTTATCCCAAAATAACTTAGCAGACACTAAGTTCATTGCTTTTAGGTTAAAAGTTGGAAAAATGATAAATTCTAGGGCTGTGATCGAATGCTCTCACTCTAATAACATGCTTTCATCAACTGACCTAGCTTTAACTTCTGACCCTCATTTTCATCTCTGGGATATGAGTAGCAATAGTAAGAGTTATGAGAATTAGATTTATACTGTATTCAGAATATAGGTAATGGGTATTTGGGAGTTTTATTTTTAGAAGGTACATTGTTAAGCAACATAACCCATCACGACTAGACTGTAGTCTGTGGCTGCAATGGTTTGTAACATTAATATTGCTGTGTGAGCACTTAGATTAAATGGAGTAAATAGCATATTCAGGTTGGGTTCTCCTGGCAAATCTCGGGGGAGGGTGTTGGGTTTTATTTTTTCAGGTAAACCTGTACCTGGCTTATTGTGAGTTCATTGGTCTCATGTCAAATATCCAACACAACCTATGTGCCTGATACTATTTTAAAGGTTGAGGATAAAGTATAGTATTGGCCTCCTGTAACTTGTGCTTTAAAAAATAATTGGCAAATTCACAGGAGTTCCCCATGATCATACCTTTGGAAATAACCATCAGTGTAGTAAAGGTGCTAGCTGGCAGGTGATTTTAAGACGATTCTTGTGTCTTGATATTAGGGGATTATTTACCTTAGTAGCTGGCAGGAAATCAAAGTGATTGAAGAAAGCTGAGTGTGACTTCATTGTTCAAAAAATTAACCTAAATTTATATGATCTTGACATCCAAATAGGCTTGACTTAATAAACTGTCTTACTGAGGGTTAAAGGTGCTAATTAGGAAAACACTGGCAACTACCGTGTTTCCCTGAAAATAAGACATCCTCTGAAAATAAGACCTAGTGCAATTTTGGGAGAAAAAATTAATATAAGACACTGTTTTATTTTCGGGGAAACAGGGTAGTATTAGCCTGGTCTCTTTTAGGACTTCAGTTTTCCTTATATCTGTATAATACTTAGCCTGACTTGTATTTTTGTTGGCAATGTGGTGGTATCTTTAAGTTGTAAAATATTTCAAATTTGACTTAAAAGGCTTTATACAAATAAGTTTTTGTAGATACTAACTCAAGTTTGCATCTGTTGCTCAAGTTTTTAAAATGTAGGAGTGTGCCCTAATGAACAAGGCTTGTATTAAGTGATTGAGCCATCTAAATTTTTAGGTAAGAAACCTAGAACTAAAGCACCCAAGATTCAGCGTCTTGTTACTCCACGTGTCCTGCAACACAAACGCAGGCGTATTGCTCTGAAAAAACAACGCACTAAGAAGAACAAGGAAGAGGCCGCAGAATATGCTAAACTTTTGGCTAAGAGAACAAAGGTCAGTTTAAGATGATTGGAGTGGCAGGGGAGGAGTCACGCCTCACTTTGGATTTAGATTTTTAACACAGACCTACTTTGACTAATTTTTTTGTCTTGTTTAGGAGGCCAAAGAAAAACGCCAGGAGCAAATTGCGAAGAGACGTAGACTGTCCTCTCTGAGAGCTTCTACCTCTAAGTCTGAGTCCAGTCAAAAATGAGATTTTGTAACTAACAAATAAAGGAGAGCAAATGTGAAAGCCCCTTTACCGACTGTTCATTGATGATAAAATTTACATAAATGGAGAGAAACTCGGGTCATAGAAAAAGGAATACTGTGTACAGCAATCTAAAGACTAAAACTTAAAAGTGATGTGTCCTTCAAATTCAGAGGTGCAGGATACGGTTTCGTAATCTGGGTGGCTCAGGAAAAGATTCTTAGCATAAGGGGTTTTCAGTGAATCATAGAACAACTTCAGGGAAATAAAACAATAGAATTGTTAAATCTTTTATACATATTTTATTTTGAGGAATACAGACAGTTTCTTAGAACATCTATGCACAATACATGAAAAGTGCCTTTGTGAAGATGGACATTTGTCATATGTGATTAAAAAAAAGATTATTTGTTAAAAGCATAGTTAATGGTGCCATTTTGCAAAAGTTCACAAAGCTTTTAAAACCAGTGTAAATTTACTACATTAACAAAGCTTTCAACTCCAGTGAATTATTCCTGTTTTTCTATTTCACTCTGAAAAGGAGTTGACTTTGTTTAAAAACTTGCATCAATAAAGAATGCACAAAGAGAAAGCACACTTTCTAATGTGCCATATCTAGTCTCTGGTAATTACAGTCAAAACTATACAGGGTAGAAGGATCTTAAAAAGGCACATTAGGCTTTAAGGATGAAGAGGCTCATTTGCTGAAGTGTAGTTTAACCACAGGTGAGTAAAATTTTAAAGTAGTTTTTACACAGATAAGTTCCCGTGTGCTACCAATGCCAGTTTCTGGACCGTTCTATAAGACGCAAGATTCTTAGATAACAGTAAGAGATCCCCGTTACTCTTAATACATGGTATTAGTAATAGAACATGAAAAGTCTTAATTTGTAATTGACTATAGAAATTACAAAGGGAAAATGGAGCATTTTTAAAGATACCAAAAAGGACATACTACAGTCAGGATAACAAGGCCAAAAGGGCAAGTCTGGTGTATAGGTCTGTACATATATGGTTGGCCCTAATATACAAACCATGAATCCCACTGCTTTCTGATTTTGAGTGCATTTTCTAAAAGCGGACTCATGGCTTATGTACACTATTTTAGCTCATGAGTTCTGGCAGGTTAGTTTAACACGTTAAGCGCCATGTTCAGTGACTGACACTACACTTACCTTCTGGACTGGTCAATCACTGGTGCTGCCAGCATACTGAAATCATATGGCATAAACGAAGACAATACAGGGCTTCCACTTAACGTGTTCACATTTTAGGATAATCTGGATTAATTTTAAAGACTGCCGTACTTTCAGAAGTTAACAAATTATGTTGTTTCATACAATATTAAAACTATAGAAAATCAAATGAGATATTTTTGGGGGAATTGTAAGCTTTTAGTGGTATCCTTTTCTGGTAGGTGTTAGAAAGAAAAGGCCTTTAAAATTTATATTTCTAAATGACTGCAGTAGACTCAGGTTTCCAATATATAATGGCTGTTACTTAGAATTAACAATAACAAAAAGTTACTAGAAAACTTGAATACAAATATTTTTAACTGGGTAAGGAAATCTTCATTACAGATTTTTTTTCTTTGTTTAGTGGGAAGTAATTTAGTTTTAGGCTACAGGGAAGAAATGGAGAGAAAGATAATTTTGGAATTCTAAAGATCACAAAACTTCCAATTGTGTAACATTTCCGGAGGCTTAAAAAGGTAACATGAATTTTTCCTTTCATTCAACCTCCATCTTTTTATATACAAGAATAATTACAAACTTTATAATTGTTAAGTATTATAACTAGTACCAAGTCTTAACTGCAAAAATATATTCTCTAAAGTTAGTGCAAAAGATCCATTTTTAAGGTAATGAGAACTGTACATAATTTTCTTTCACAATAAATTGAAACTAGAATTCTGTAAAGGTCAGATTAACCTTAAATGATGAAAGACTGGCACAGCAACAAGATGTAAAAGATTATACCAGATAGATTTGTGCTGTCACCTACCAGTAAGTAAGTTGTACCCAGTGATTTAGTCGTATGTATAATTACTGTAAAACACACAACCACTGGCGTTTTACAACACGCAGAGTTAAGGCAATCTTGCTGTTCCTAAGGGCTTTTAACAAAAGGCATAATTGTCAGGCATGTGAGGTCATGATTTTCTTAAATCTGGCAAACAAGCTCAATAGCTTTGTATTGACTTAATTGATTTATCCTAAAAAAACTATTTACAAATGCACAAATAAACATACAAATCTATATATTATACAAGAATAAAACTGCAGTGCAAGTTTATCCCACAGGTTTAAAAAGTGACCAATAGCAACCATTTACTGGGCCTGAAACAATTTCAGGTCCAGACTATACATACGGCACTTTTAAGGATGTTCAAATTTTGTGAAATTAAAACCAATTTCATTTAAACTGACTGATGTATAATATTCAATTATAAAGCTGTTGTATATCAACATGCTATTGGGAAGTAGATGGAAGTGACTGGATATTCAAGATAAAATCCATTAAGGAAAATAATACAAAATATGAAGGGTGAAGATAAATGTATTAAATTTAAAGTCAGGCAAGGCAGCTGTCAGCAGACTTTTCAGGTAATTTTGAAATTAATGACTACAGATGAGTTTACTAGTAGTCACTTAGACCCCTTTCAGAAAACGGCAATACATCTATAAATTTTAATAAATATAATATGGCTGTATATATGCATACCTACACAGCCACATACACACACACAGTTTGCTCTTAAGACATTTCATTTGTATTGGGGTTAGCCAAGTCTAATTTGTCATTCCCCAAACCCAGTTAGCTTCCAATATAAACAATGCCAATGACGAATGCAATTTCTCATTATCAAACTGCAAATATTGAGAAATCCAAACGGTTTTCAGAAGAGGCAGATACACTATTAAGAAGTTGCAAATTTTCGACATAAACCCTGGGGCATTTTAATTGTATTTTCTCATTTCTAGGTGATTTGGTATGTTAGGTTTCATATGTTGTCCCAAGAGTTAGACAATTTTGGTTTTCACCAATTCTTAGCATTTGGAACAAACCTTTAAAGTTTCCAGACTGAGTCTATTCCCCCCAGCATTGTGTATCTGAAATGTAGTTTAAATGAGAGGGGCTCCAAAACACTTCCTGCACCATTCCACACTGACACTTGGTGGAACATCAATTTTCTGCAACTTTTCAAGGACTTCTGAAGATAGACTATTGTATGCAAGTCCATATTCATTATCAAAAGCCTCTGAAAAAGACAATTTCAAAAAATGCAGTTATAATGTGTTAAAGAATTTATGCATTTATATATGGTAGTCTAATCATATATACACACACACCACATAATCAAAAGTAGGAGTCTTTCTAAAGGCAAGTAGAATTTTAAAATTATTTAGGAAATAAAATTACTTGAAAATAAAGCGAAAAGTTACATTTGGAAATAGTAAAATGTTAGGAAACAGAAAATAGTGCTCTAATCAACTTACCAATATCAATATTCTCTCTTCCAAGAGATACTAATGATAAGAAGAGGATTTCTCTGTATAAACTCCTATAAAACAAATATTTTTAGAGTCAATAGGCTAAGAGTATAAAAATAAGTATGTGAAGGCATTTTTAATTGTTTTAAAAAAAATTAAGTTCTCTGGTCTAACAGAATGTCCTAGTTTTGGTATGTGGCACCGTTATGAGATGGCACCTTTGGGGGAAGAGTTCTTAACTATTTTTACAACTACTTCCTTCGCATATCTATTTCAAGTTTAAAAATTAAGTTGACGGCATAAAGTTTCATACTAAAAACAAAAAACGGTTTAACAAAATTATTTTTAACAATATAACCCTTGGAGTCTAAAACCCTTGGACACAGAGTGAAAGGGGGAATGATCTCTACTATCTAATCCAACAATAAAAGATCACCTTTATTTGATTTGTGGACTTAAAAATATCACAAATTAAATCTTAAAAATAAGCTTTATAACTCAGTTGTTAAAAATAAACAATTTAAGTAAACTGGTTTGTTTACACAGAACAAAAAATTAATAATGCTGATTGAGGATGCTCCATGTAGCTCTAGAAGCTTTAGAGGCCATAGCAGGTCATTTCTAATATTCCTTTCCTGCCTTATACTACAGGTGCTTGAAACGAGGTGTTTTTTAGACTAAAAGAAACCATCTGTACCTCAGAGGATCCATCCATTTCATTATCTTTGTACTACTGTTTTCTGAAGATTCCTCTGCAAAACTCTTATTGACATTGGGATGAGTACTGATCCAAGCATGTTTGCAGACAATAGTAAGAGGATCAGGAGAGCTCCACATCCTTTGTAATTCACTACTTCCATCACTTTTCTAAATAGTTTCTACTCCCAAACTTTTTTTTTTTGTGTCCCTCAAGAAAGGAAAAGATGGATGGATATGACAGAGCCTGAACCAAGTAGAACATATATATAATATAGATGTTAACAAATTCACACAGGGTTTCCATGAATAGTATTAATGTTTCCTAAAGATTCATACACTTTTGACATGAATTACCTCTTAAAATTTAATCTACCCCCTGAAACAGATACTTATTCGTGCTCAAATAAGTACTTTTTAAAACATGTTCCACAGTGAGTATATGTTTCTTTTACAACTAGAGCTATTTTAAATAGTTTTTAACATGACATTATTTTGAATGGTAAACACTGAATTATTACCTTTGTCTTTTCTTGTCTGGCTTCATTTGCTGTGAAAGCAGGTTGATGGGTTGAAGAACATCATTACGTTGAATACTCTGCCTGATGGTTTCCACTAAAGTGCTTGTAGCTTGTTGTTGTTCTGACAGGACAGACGACTTCTTTTCAGAATCTAATAATAAAAACAGTAATTAAGAATATCTTTATCCACTCTAATAAAGTTTTTTCCAGAGTTATAGCATTTTCTCGCTTTTTATTCAACATCACCTCTTTACTAGTAATATTATGTGGCACTGTGACTGCTAAGAAATATTTTTCCTGTTTCAGATAGAAGAGACCACTCCCTGAACTTAAGACTTCCTGTTTGAGGGGGGAGGGGTGACAACTTGTATTCCAGGAGCCATCCTGTGACTATAAAGCCACCTCTACTGCTGAAAAAGTCGACACAATAGAAAGAGCCTGTGTCCCTCACGACAGAGCAGTTGTGGATCAGTCCTAGAAAATTTACTTCATAGTTTATGTGAGAACAATCTGTAGTGTTTAAATTTCTGTTATTTCCTATTAAATATAGAATATAATCTTAATTGATAAAGGCTAATTCTAGAATTATTAAGAACAAACATTTATATAGATTTCATAGATACAAAAGTGCTTCAGTGATATACCAGAATTGAATCATATTAACATGAAAAATAAAATCACCATGTTGGTTGGCCCAGAAAAAGGGAAAACTTTAATACTGTAATCCCAGCAGCCATGTAATTTTATTTACAATTAGTTGAGATGGGAATATGTATCCAATAATTCCCCAGTCTAGCCTCATTCTAAGTGCCTGTCATAAAGTAAGCTGTTGTATTTTTCATACAACATAGCTCCTTAATAAAGGTATCTAGTAATACTTCATTTGTGTAAAACCAAATAGCAAAATTCTGTTATAAGACAACAGGAAATACTGGCTGCTATAGGTTTCGATCCTAGCTCTTCTACCTGCTAAATGTTTCCTTGGAGTAGGAAACGGTTTTAAAAAGGACCTTATTTTCATGCTGTTGTGATTTTAGAGCCTAACCCAAATGTAATAAAAACGGCTTCTTTAATTCCATTTTTAAAATAACACTTTTACTGAGACATTAAAATAATTCCCAAACCATTCAATTCACCCATTTAAACTACAAAACTGGTTTTGAATATATTCTTGGAGTTGAGCAGCCATCACAATAAACTTAAAACATTTTTGTTTACCACCAAAAATAATCTCTAGGGGTCACTCCTTTATCTTTCCAACCACTACTAGGTAAACACTACTTTTATCTCCACAGCTTCGCCTATTCTATATATTTCATGTACGTGGTATATTTTAATTAAATCTTTATTGTTCAAATTATTATAATTGTTCCTCTCCCCCACCCCCACATAGCTCCCCTCCACCCGGTTCCAACGCCACCCTTTGCCCTTACCTCACCCCCACTGTCCTCACCCATAGGTGTACTATTTCTGTCCAGTCTCTTCCTGCACACTCCTTTCTGCCTGAGAATTGTCAGTCCACTCCCTTTCTATGCCTGATTCTATTATATTTGCCAGTTTATTCTGTTCATCAGATTTTTAATTCACTTGCTTTTTAGATTCACTTGTTGATTTGTATTTGTTGATCATAATTTTTTACCTTTTTCTTCTTCCTCTTGTTAAAGAATACCTTTCAACATTTCATATAATACTGGTTTGGTGTTGATGTACTCCTTTAGCTTTTTTTTTTTTTTTTTTTTTTAAGGTTCTTATTGATTTTTATTTTATTGATTTTATTGATTTTTTACAGAGAGAAAGGGAGAGGGATAGAGAGCTAGAAACGTCGATGAGAGAGAAACATCGACCAGCTGCCTCCTGCACACCTCCTACTGGGGATGTGCCTGCAGCCAATGTACATTCCCTTGACCAAAACCTGTGACCTTTCAGTCCGCAGACTGACGCTTTATCCACTGAGCCAAACCACTTTCAGCCTTTAGCTTTTTCATATCTGTGAAGCTCTTTATCTGCCCTTCATTTCTGAATGATAGCTTTGCTGGGTAAAGTAATCTTGGTTGTAGGTTCTTGCTATTCATCACTTTGAATATTTCTTGCCATTCCTGTCTGGCCTGCATAGTTTCTGTTGGGAAATCAGCTGACAATCGTATGGGTGCTCCCTTGTAGGTAATTAACTTTTTCTCTTGCTTTTAATATTCGTCTTTTGGTCTTGTCATTTTAATTATGATGTGTCTTGGTTTGGTCCTCTTTGGATTCCTTTTGTATGGGATTCTATGTGCTTCCTGGACTTCTAAGTCTATTTCTTTCACCAGGTGGGGGAGTTTTCAGACATTATTTCTTCAAATAGGTTTTCAGTATCTTGCTCTCTTTTGGCACTCCCACTATTCTGATGTTGGTTTGCTTGAAGTTGTCCCAGAGGCTTCTTACACTATCTTCATATTTTTTTATCCTTTTTTCTTTTTGCTTTTCCAGTTAAGTATTTTTTGCTTCTTTGTATTTCAAACCTTTGACTTGGTTCTTGCATTCCTCTAGTCTGCTATTAGGTCTCTGTATAATATTTTTTATTTTAGTCAAGAGTATAATTTCTAGTTGGTCCTTTTCCATATCCTTGAGGCTCTCACTAAATTTATCGGCCTTTTCTAGGAAATTCTTGAAAAACCTTATAACAATGGTTTTGAATTCTACATCCAGTCGTTTGTTTTCCTCTATTTCTTTCATTTGTTTGACTCCGCATTTCCACTGATTCCCTGAGTTGGTAGGGTAGCTTTGTGTGCTAGGTGTCCTATATGGTCCAGTGGCTTGGCCTCCCCAGTTACCTGAGGTGGACACTCTTGGTGCACCCCTTTGTGGGCTGGTGTACAGTCTTGTAGTTAAGCCTTGATTGCTGTTGGTACACTGGGAGAAATTGACTTCCAGGCCAATTGGCTGTAAGGATCAGCTGTGTCTACACCGGAAGAATTTCTATGATGGAGACAACCTTATGAGACAAGACTTGCAAAATTGCAAAAAGCCTCTGTGCTCAGCTTGGATGGGGCAGAGTCTCAGGATTGAGCAGACAGTCTTGGCTTCCAGTCAGCCCTGCGCTATAATGGCCCTGGGTCTGTGCCCCTCGGTAATTGCTGCAAGCACCTCCAAGAGTAAGTTGCCCTCGAGTTTCGCCCACTGCAGTTTCTCCCCCAATGAATCTGTATTCCCAGATTCTCACCCGGAACTGGAGTTCAGCTTAGTGGGGGAGCTTCTGTTTCCCATCCACTATAGAAAGCCAACGGCATTCAGCAGTCTCTCTTCGTGCACTCGCACCTCCACACCTCTGCCTTTTGCGGCTCCCCTGAGTTTCCATCTGACAGTCCAGATTCCCCCATATAAGCCTGGGTCCTCAGGGTCTTGCCTGGAACTGGGGTTCAGTGCAGTCGGGAGCTTTTGTCTCCTTCCTGCTAGAGAAAGCCAGCCAGACACTCAGTCACCCGAGCGCATGTCTCTGTACCTCAGCCTTTTGCAGCTCCTCTGATTCTCCCTGTGCTTTCCTCTTTCCTTCTAATTGTAGAATTTCCACTCAGCCAGCTTTCCTGTGGTTCTGGATGATATTTGTTTTGTCTTTTAGTTGTAGTTTTGAAATTGTGCGAGGCAATAATTTTGGTGTTTACCTATGCCGCCATCTTGGTTTCTCGGTATCATACTTTCTATGCTCTTTTGTGACTGGCTTCTTCTATAATGTTTTTAAATTCATCCATGTTGTAGAATATATATCAGTATTCAGTATTTTTTATTGCCAAATAATACTTGTTGCTTGGATATACCAAACTATCCACTTGTCAGCTGATGTACATCCAGGTTGTTTACACTGTTGGGTTATTTTAAAAAATGCTAAGAATAGTGTATAGTTTTTAGGTGAACATATGTTTTCACTTGGGTATTTACCTAAGAGCAAGTGTTATGTCATATGGTGTTTACTATTGCTAATATGAAGAACTGTGTAATTTTTGCAGAGCAGCTGCACCATTTTTTATTGTAATCAGCAGTATATGAGGTTATCAATTTCTTTATAGCCTCACAAATATTTGTTAATATCTGTCCTTCTGATTATAGCCAATATAGTGAATGTGAAATGATTTATCTATTTGGATGTCCTTGACATCTAGTGATATTGAGCATCTTTTCATTTGCTTTTAGCCATCTTTGAAGAACTGTTAGATTCTGCTATCATGTTGAAAATCTAATGCCCAATGTGATGGTATCAGGAGTTGAGGCCTTTGGGAGATAATAAAGACATGAGGGCAATCTTCATGAATTGATTAGTGCCCTTTAAAAAAAAAAAAAGGCATCAAAGAGATCCCTTACCCCTTCTACCATGTGAGGATATAATGAGAAGTCTGCAGTCCAAGAGGGTTCTTAACTGACCAGGCTAATACCATCCTCATCTTGGACTTTCAACCTCCAGAACTGACAGAAATAAATTTTTGATTTTTATAAGCTACACAGTCTGGGACATTTTATTACAGCAGCCCAAGTGGATTAATACAAGATCCTTTGCCAATTTTTAAAAATGAGTTATTTATTATTGAGTTGTAAGAGTTCTTTATATATTCTCTTAAAATATTTTACTTGCAAGTATTTTCCCTATTTTATTCTGGGTTGACATTGCACTTATATAATTGGTTATTTCTCAGCAGTTTTTGTCTTTGATGAAGTCTAGTTTATTTTTCCTTTTGTTGCTTGTGCTTTTGGTGGTATAGTATCTAAGACCTTAACCCTATACAAGGCTATGAAGATTTATTCCTATGTTTCCTTCTAAGAGTACTATAATTTTAACTCTTACATTTAAACATTAAGTTTAGGATCCATTTTGAGTTAATTTTTATGTATAATTTGAGGAAGCAATCAAAAAAAAAATTTTTTTTTTCATGTTGCGATAGTTGTCCCCGCATCATCTGTTCCAGTTTCATGATCTTGAAACTCTTGTTGAAAGGCAACTGAAAATACTTGTAAGGGTTTATTTCTGGAAACTCAACTCTATTCCATTGACCTTTACTGCCTATCTCTATGCAGCATTCCACTTTCTTGATTACTATAGCTTTAGTACTAAATTTTCAGATTAAGAAGTATGAATCCAACAACTTTGTTCTTCATTTTAAAGATTGTTTGGCTATTCTAAGTTCCTAGAATATCCATGTGATTTTTAGGATAAGCCTTTCAATTTCTGTAAGATAAAAAAAAAGAGCCACCTGGAATTTTGCTGAATCTATAGAACAATTTGGAAGTATTGCCATCTTAACAATAGTAATTCTTCCAAACTTGGCATTTCTTTCCATTTATTGAGGTCTTTAATTTCTTTGAACAATAACTTTAGTTTTTAAAATATACGTTTTGTACTTTCAGCAAATTCATTCCTATATATTTTATTCTTTTCATTGAATTTCTTGAGGTGATTAGTTAATAAAATTATATAGATTTCAGGTGTAAAATTCTATAATACATCATCTCGTGTTGTGTGTTCACCAACCCAAGTCAAGTCTGCTTCCATCATCATTTATCTTTCCTATACCCTTTCTACCTAACCTCCCATTCCCTCTGATAATCATTATAATGTTGTCTGTGTGTATGAGTTGTTTTCCTTAATCCCTTCAACTTTGTCACCCAGTCCCTAAATTTTGTTCTTTTTAATGCTATTATAAATGGAATTATTTTCCTAAATTTTGATTATTTATTGAAAGTGTATTGGAATACAGTTGGTTTCTGTATATCCTGCAATTTTGCTGAACTTACGTTTGTGTTTGCATATATATATAAATATATTCATTAAGATTTTCTATACTAAGTGCACATAATCTGCAAATAGAGTTAATTTTACTTCCTTTGCAATTTTTAAAAATATATATTTAAGAGAAAGGGGAAGGGAGACAGAGATAGAAACATCAATGATAAAAGAGAATCATTTGATTGGCTGTCTCCTGCACACTCCCAGCTGGGATTGAGCCTGAAACCGAGGCATGTGCCCAGACCGGGAATAGAATCATGACCTCCTGGTTCACAGGTCAACACTCAACCACTGAGCCACACCATCTAAGCTTCCTTTACAATTTGGATGCCTTTTATATTCTTGTCTAATTGCTCTAACAAGATCCTCCAGTACAATGTTGAATGGAAATGATAAAAACAAACAATCTTGTCTTTCACCATTAAGAGAACTGTCTGCCCAACCAGCATGGCTCAGTGGTAGAGCGTCGTTGATCTATGAACCTATGATCTATGATCTATGAAGGTCACAGTTCAGTTCCCGGTCAGGGCTGGGCTAGATCCCTGGTTTAGGACATGCAGGATGCAACAGATCAAAGATTCTCTCTCATCATTGATGTTTCTAGTTCACTCTCCCTTCCTCTCTGAAATCAATAAAAATATTTAAAAAAAGAAAACTGCCAATTATCATAGATGCTCATAATCAAATTGAAGAAGTTCCTTTCTATTTCTAACTTGAATGTTTTTTAAAATACATTTTTATAGATTTCAGAGAGGAAGGGAGAGGAAGAGATATAATAGAAACAAATTATGAGAATTATTATTTTTTAATATATTTTATTGATTTTTTACAGAGAGGAAGGGAGAGGAAGAGTTAGAAACATCGATCAGCTGTCTCCTGCATACCCCCTACTGGGGATGTGCCTGCAACCAAGGTACATGCCCTTGACTGGAATCAAACTTGGGACCCTTCAGTCCGGAGGCCAATGCTCTATCCACTGAGCCAAACCAGTTAGGGCAAGAGGGAGAATTATTGATGGGCTGCCTACTGCATGCCCCCTACTGGGGATCGAGTTCAAAACCTGGGCATGTGCCCTTGACCAAAATCGAACCCGACCCTTTAGGCAGGCCAATGCTCTATCCACTGAGCCAAATCAGCTAGGGCTCTAGCTTGAGTGTTTTTAACAAAGGGTGACGGGATTTCAACAAATATTTTAACTATTGAGACAATCATGCAGGTTTGGTCCTTTATTATATTGATATGGTGTTTACATTAATTGATTTTCAAATGTTAAACGAACATGGCATGCCTGGGATAAACTGCATTTGGTCAAGGCTGTTCAATCCTTTTTCTGTATGTTAGATTTGGTTAGTTATTTTGTTGAGAATTTTTATGTCCATATAAATAAGTGATATAGATTTTTGTTTTCTTACGGATATCTTTGGTTTTTGTATCAGCGTGATACTGCCCTGCTCATCTAAATCTCCACAATTTCCAAGAGTGTTCTCAGTTCCAAATACAATTTCCTTTTTAAAAAAATTTTTTTGATTTCAGAGAGGAAGGGAGAGGAAGAGGGAGGGAGGAAAACATCAATGATGAGAGGGAATCATTGATTGGCCACCTCCTATACGCCCCCAAAACAGAGACCAAGCCTGCAACCCAGGCATGTGCCCTTGACTGGAATTGAACCTGGGACCCTTCAGTCCATAAGCAGACATACTATCCACTGAGCCAAACTGGTTAGGGTTACAATAACCTTTTGAGAGAATGTCAGAGCTCTCTGTTCTTATGAAGTAGTGGCAGAGCTCCTCATACTGCCTGCCATTCCTGAAAGTTATCACTCAATTTTTTTTTTTTCTTAACTGATTACGGTGTTACATATGTGTCCTTATTCCCCCATTACCTTCCCTACCCACCTTCATGCCCTCCCATTGGTCACTTAATTCTTATATGTCTTTATTTTTATGCCAATTCTTCATATAAAGCACCAATTAATAAGTTCATTCTTGAGAGTTCTAAATTTCATCCCACCAAAAATTAGAGAATATTTTGAATTACTTGTCTATTTCATGATACTCAGTCTGTGGTATTCTGTTAAGGTAGCCCTAGCAAACTAACACAATTTATATAAGCCATTTAATGTTTCTTCCATGAACTGCCTGTTGATAGCAATTGCTCACTTATCAATTGATTGTGGTTTCTTATTTACTCACAGAGTTTCTGAACTGGATGATAATCCTCCACATTCCTTATAGCCCTAGCCAGTTAGCTCAGCGGATAGAGTGTTGGACCTCAGACTGAGAGATCCTGGTTCAATTCCAGTCAAGGGCACATACCTCAGTTGCAGGCTTATCCCCAGCTCTGGTGGAGGCAACCAATCAATGTGATCTCACATCGATGTTTTTCTCTCGCTCTTCCTCCCTTCTACTGTCTCTAAAAATCAATTGAAAAGTTTCCCTGGGTGAGGATTAACAACAAAACCTTCTGTAAAAATACATTTTAAATATAAAAGACTAAAAATAAGCTAGAATTTTTTAGACTAATATCCATATAACTGAAATTATACTATTATATTCCAACACATCCAGATTACTCTTATGCTATATAGAATTTAGTCTCCAAATATCTAACCAAATTGGTATTGACAGAAAAATCATAAAATAATACTCTTCAACTCATGTAGAGACCTGACTTAGTTAAATGGGTCAATATAATAGCAATCAATTTAAACCAAAATAGAATCTTGAAGAAATACTAAAAATAAAGAAAAAATGTTAAAATAATGCAAAAGGACTTGTTTTTCTCTTCACTCTTAATTCTAGTTCCCCAAGTCCCAGTACATTTTTCTTTATTGCTAAATAGTACTCTACAGTTTTAAGAATTGTATGTCTTTAATTCTATTTTACTTACTAAAATTCCTCCATGAGACATATAGAGGCTCTTCTGGTTCCTGATGAAGGTTGATATTATCCCATAACAGCTGAATGTATACAAGTTTGCTGTCCTGGGACAAAGATGACAGAGGAAGCTAAAAAAGAGCAATAGAAAGCATTAGTGCCCCTACCATAATAACTACCAGGGAATCTAGCAAAACTTGACTTTCTAAAACAGATGAGTTCTTTCAAAACTCTGAACCTAAAATTTTGTGCAATTTTTATTTAAATCTGAAGACTTATGTTATTTTCTGAAGGTCAAGTTTTTCATTCTAAATTTCAAGGATACACTGTGCTCATTACAACATGGTAACTAGCACAGTGGCTACATGAAAGATTAACTGCCATTACAACAAATTTTAAGGCAAGAGTAAGTGCAATAGTTCTACAATCTACTTGTATTGACTACTACTTAAAATAAATGAGTCAAAATAGACTTTGTACTACTTTAAGGTTGTGTGTGCCCCTGGTATATGTTTGGGTGTGGGTACCTCTCATATTCAATATCAAAATGAAGGAACTCTAGGAGCCCACTGTCCCTAGTGGGATTGGGATTCCCAGAACAATTGACTAGGAGGCTTTAAAGCTAGACACAGCCAGAGTGGGGTTTTGACTCCCCATCACATATTAGCTATACGACCTTGCAAAAATAATTTCTTTAACTTAATTATACATCTGAAAAATATGGATAATATGGGTCCTTATTCTTTCAATTGTATTTTGTATTCATTTCAGCTGTACAGAATATGAGTCTTTTTAAAATAAGGTTGCTGTGAGAATTTCTTCTGGGAATATGATAGTTCAAAACAAAAGCTACCTTCTCTAGCCTCCTTGCAACTAGAAATGACCGTATAAGATCAGGATAAATGACTACATATGGAAATATGTATACCTGCAGAAACTGTCCCTAAAGAATGAAAGACATACTCTTTTCTATCAATTTTTCTCCTTACTGTTAACTGGAATGTGAATGTGACAACTTAGAAGAGAGTCAGCCATCCTGGTGTAGAACTTGGAAACGGAGGTCATGTACAGCTGAGCAAAAAGAAGCATCTCAGGTCCCTAACAGTAACATCCCTAGACCACCTATTTAAACTTTTAAGTGAGAGAAATAACCTGCATCTTGTTAAGCCACTATTGCATACTTTGTTACTTTAAGCCTCATCCTAGCCTATACCAATGTAAGTATAGAAGTTGACACTCTACCTGTATACCTCCATTACAATGTTCAGATGTGAGGATAAGTCCTGGCAAGTTACTAGGAAGGTCCAAACGTCTGAAATACCATACAAGGTTCCAGAAAATAATCGGATGTTGATTGATGAAAGAGGATGTGTGGATCACGTGATCGCCTTCATTTTCTAGCAAAGATTCAAGTTCTTTACGAAGCACTAGAGGACTCAAGTAGGGCACAGAAAGAGGGGGAGGATTTGGTCTTTTTCCTAAAGGATCCTTAAAAAAAAAAAAAAAGTGAATATTATCTATTTAATTTGGTATGTTTAAGAGTACTTCTCTGTCCTGCTGGCATGGCTCAGTGGTTCAGCATCAAACTATGAACCAGGAGTTCACAATTTGATTCCCAGTTAGGGCCTTGGGTTGTAGGCTTAATTCCTAGTATGGGGCTTGTAGAGGCAGCCAATTAGTTGTTCTCTCTCATTGATGTTTCTCTCTCTACCTCTCCCTTCCTCTCTCTGAAATAAATTTAAAAAATAAAAAATAAAAGTTTTTCTTAAAGAGATTATGCTGCTCTATCTCTTCAAAATCAGTTATTTTCTGGCAGTTGATACATGCAGGACATCCTAATGAAAACCTAAAAAAAAAAAATACTTAATCATAATTACCTTTCAGTTAGCTAAGATAAAATTAATGACCCATATAACAGACCATATTTTATTTTTATTTTTAAAATATATTTTATTGATATTTTTACAGAGAGGGAAAAGGATAGTTAGAAACATCGATGAGAGAGAAAAACATTGATCAGCTGCCTCCTACACACCTCCTATTGGGGATGTGCCTGCAACCAAGGTACATACTCTTGACCCAAATTGAACCTGGGACACTTCAGTCCTTAGGCCGAGGCTCTATTCACCAAGCCAAACAGGTTAGGGCCAGATCCTATTTTAAACATGATGGAGTTGATAAGAGCAATGGGCTGTGTATTTGATTTGATTTTTCTTTTATCAATTTTAAAAATTAATAGATGTTTACATTTCATATGTTTTATAATGATGATACCAAAAAATATGTGTTAATTCTAAAGAGATGGGGCAATTTTTTGACCCCTTTTAAAATTATATCTAAATCATTTTTACACTTGCTACAAAAAGCAATTTTATAAATAAAATAATGAATAAAAACAACAACCTAGACTTTATAACCCTAGTATCCAGTGTGAGGTATCATCTCCCTCTAAAAGGAACCAGTGTTTCTTAGAGAAATGGCAGACTCTATATCTGCAGAAGAAAAATAATACATGAGCATGAAACAACTTGTCATAAAAGAAAGCAAGAAAATTTAAAAAATAAATTTAAAGACTACTAGAGTTGTGTCACAAGGAATAAGGCATCATCCTGTAAAGAGTTCTAGCTGAGCAAAGATGGGAAAATGCAATTAATATCAATAAGGATAACGACAATGGATGTAAACATAAATGTTAAAAATCAATTTTTCATAATGACACTCTATTTCCCCAAATTAATGGGTCACCTTGAAGAATGCTAAGAACCCAACTTGTTATTCTGAAAATTGGTTAATAAAAAGGGGAAGGTGGACTGCCTTTCTAATATAAACTGCATCGTTAGAAAACCAAACAGAAGGCCTAAGGGAAGTTTCTCTTCATAGATTTATTCCATATAATAAAGATGACAGAATCAGACTATCATCATTTTATAAGCTCCAAATGAATAACTTGATCTAGGCAATGGGGCATTAATAGCTACTAAATCACAAAGACAGTTCATGTCTCCACTGGAAGAACATACGGCCACTAATGATACTGTCTCACAAAAATAAACAGCAAAACAAAAAAACCTGAATTTGACCAATCTTCTAGGCAAAATTACCAATTTATAGGGTTATAATCAACAAATACATTGCAAGAGGAAAAAGGAAAGTGTACAGATTAAGAAAGATTAAAAAAAAAAAAAAAAAAAAAAAGATCAATTGCAATGTATGGGCCTTCTTTGTTCCTGAGTCCTCAAACTACAAACATACTTGACATTTTTTAAACAATTAGAAATTTGAACAAAAACTGAATCACTTAATGTTAATTATTATTTTTAGTTTGATACTGAAATATTTACAAATGAAATATATGTTTAAAATTTCTTTCAAAATAATTTGTAGTGACGTAAATATGGTATAAGTCATGAAAGAAGTATGGCTATAAGTTTAAAATTACTGAATCTTGACTCAAAGGGACTCATTTATGTTACTCTTCCATTTATTTTTGTACATATTTGAAATTTTAAAACCTTCTGTTTATAAAAAATTCTTATCGTTTTTCATGTCATTTAAATCTTCTACAGAATTATGTACTGTGCTAATACATTCTTACAAGAATACACAATATAATTATAATGTTGTTACATACCACAACTTCCTGCAGACTGTTTGGAAGACTAACTGTTGAAATGCCATGAAATGGTCGCTGGGAAAAGTCAATATTTTGCAATGGACCTCCAACACTGTGACTTCGAGTCAAAGATACATTCCGCTTTGATAAACTATTAGGTACAGGTGAAATTTCCATAGTTTGAACATCTCCACTGGCATTCTTTATTTCATCACTTTAAAAAAAAATGAAAACTGGTTCTGTAAATAATCTAAATCTGTAGAATTGGAGTATTTTCTACAATGAATTTTAGTCTATTAAATAAATTTAAGAGGATTCATTACTGACTGATAAGAATAACATTTTCACCCTAGCCATTGTGGCTCAGTTGGTTGAGCATCAGCTCATGCCCTAAAAGGTCATCAGTTCAATTCCCAGTCAGAATATATGTCTGAGATTGTGGGTTCTATTCCCAGTAAGGGGAGTGCAGGAGACAGCCATCAATATTTCTCTCTCCCTAAAATCAAGTTTTTAAAAACATTTTTTTAATTTATTTTAATATATTTTATTGATTTTTTTACAAGAAGAAGAAAAAGAGAGTTAGAAACATCGATGAGAGAGAAACATTGATCAGCTGCCTCCTGCACACCTTCTACTGGGGATGTCCCCGCAACCAAGGTACATGCTCTTGACCGGAATTGAACCTGGGACCTTTCAGTCCGCAGGCCAACACTCTACCCACTGAGCCAAACCGGTTTCAGCAAAACATTTTTTATTTTTTAAAAAAAAATACCTTTATTGATTTCAGAGAGTTAGGGAGAGGGAAAGAGAGAGAGAAACATCAATGCAGGCATGTGCCCTTGACTGGAATTGAACCTGAGATTCCTCAGTCCACAGGCTGACTCTCTATTCACTGAGTCAAAACAGCTAAGGGCCTAAAATAAATTTTTTTTAAATATTTTTTTAAATAAAATTTTCTTCAGGCATTCTTAGGATAGAACCAATGACTGGTGAAGGTTGGGAAAAGGATATATGGTAGACAACAGGTTTCATTTAAAACAGATTAAGTGCCCATTCAGTTGCTCTATTCAAATATTATTTCATCTTTATTAAACAAAATCATATAGAAGAACTGTGCTGCATGCAAATAAGTCAAGTAGATTGACAAGTATTTAATTTCTACCAGGCTATGATCCACCTAAGGATAAGAGACCAAAACTTACTTTTTTATTTTTAGTGTTTATGCCTAGCATACAATTTAAATGCCAGAATTATGCCTACAGGAGTCAGGTTATCTTTAAAGATGGAATTTTTGCAAGAATGTCCAATTTATTGTGAGGAGTTCTCTATACCATATGGTACCTAGATTCAACTGCAGCGCTTGTTTCTTCAGTTATGGTCTGGTTATGTTTCCGGAAATCCATCAAGTTGATCAAGTCAGGTTCTGCTGAACTGGATACAGGTTTAGGCTCCAAAGGCTCACTTGCCAATGGAATGCTGCCACTTTGTAAACTGTCACCAGAGGTACTTGGTTTCAGGAAAAAGCTAAAAAATATGGAGCAGTCCAAATAAAAAAAAAAACTTCATAAATGCTAAAGTCCTCTAAATTTCATATTTAGAATCACTTTACAGTAAAACAGTAATTAATGAATTATATAACCCATAGAAATACTGCCTATTTCAAACTCACACACTCCTGCTTTCATTCTTTCTCTCCTGTCCTAAACTATTCAAATGAAAGATCTAGAGGAGGTCATTATAGTTCAATATATGATTCCTTCAGTTTTTGAAAATCATTAACACTATGAAGGAAGATAAAAAGCAAAATGTTACATTAATTTTGAGTTTAAAAAGAGAAGCAACAGCAGCATTTTAACATGTATCAACCTGTAACTGTTTATAATACCTCTTTTTTCCCCTTATAAAATCTCCATTTTGTCTCTAGTCCTTTCCTCTCCCCTGTATTAATTCATTTTTTATTTTCCTCCTCTCTCTCTCTCTCCGGGGGGGTTGGGGGATAGTCAGGGTGAGGGCTGGGCCTTGCAAGGGGCATTAAGAGAACTTTCTGAGGTAATAGTAATGTTCTGTATCTTGATAAAGGTTTGAATTCACACAAATGTATACATTCTCAATTTGTACATTTTACTATATAATAGCTTTACATAAAAAAAAAATACTGAAATCCAGTAATTATATGCATATTGAAGTCTTTTGAAGAAGTATATAAATGTCTACATTTTACTTTTGGCTGGAGGGATAAATAGGTAATAAAGCAAATACAGTAAAATGTTAATTGTAGAATATAGGGGTGGATATTTGGGTGTCACTGCAAGAAAAAATTCTTTAAACAATTGTAAGTTAAAAATTTTCCATTGTGACATATTGGGAAGAAATCAATTATGTTCCTTTTCAATTAGAAAATATAAAATAAGATTAGACAATAGCTTAAGAAACACAGTTACTCAACAAAAAGTACAAGATTAATGGAGAATAAAAGTACATAAAAAAAATTTTTAATGAAGCTACCATGCTCTCAGATGAGAGTATTGAAAATGTCTATTTTTCCTAAGTTAATCTAGAAATCTAATGAAAATCCAATAAAAACTCTAGATGAAATATTTTTAAGGAACTTAAAGTTACTCTGAAATTTTATAATTTAAAAAATAAGTATAACTATAAGGAAAAAAAATTCTACATGAGGGAATTTATAAACACAACACAAATAATAATAAAAATAATATGATCTTGACAAAAAGAAGAGAACAGTGTATACATGGGAATTTGAAGTGCATGTGATATAAAAGACCTAAACATCAGAAGAACGTTCAGGAGAAAATTTTCATGTTTTGCAGATGGGAAGGAATTTTTAAGGCAAGACTTGAAAAACACAAATCATAACGTTTAAGATTAATGGGTGAGGACAGCAAAATTAATTATTTCTCTTCTGTAAATTAATTGCAAGAATATTCAAGGTAGAAGTCAATAAGAAAAAGAAAGCTTAATGTAAAAAAAGTAATGGTACAGGCAATTCATAGAAAGTCCTGGAATAACAAGTATAAGAAGAGGCATTCAAACTCTAGTATTCAAAGAAATTCAAACAAGAATGAGATACCACTAATACCAATTAGAATATAAAAATCAGAAAAGTGGTAATACCAAATGCTGGTAAGGAGATGTAGAAATGAAAATCCTTAGAAACTAGTACTGGGAGTGTTGCCACCTGAGAAACAAATCTTCCATTGTTTACTGAAATCATGTATGAAATGACCCAATGGTCTCACTCTTATTATGGGAGAAACTACTTCAGAAGTCCAGAAGTAGAAATGTATTTTACATTGTACTGTATCACTGCAGTGATATTTATAGCAACAAAGAACTAGAAGCAACTGAAATATCCAACACAAGGATAACAGAAAAGTAAAATGAGGTATTAACTTCCAACAGGAGAAAACAAATCAATTAGGTTTACATATAGCAACTCAGATTTTAAACTGAATGATTACAAAAATAGAGACTTTCAGCATTATTCTAATATATAAGTTAAAAATACATAAATCTACAAAATAACGTATTTTATAAGGATATATATTCAAGGATATATCACAGACAGAACAATGCCTTTGTTGGACAAAGCAATGGAAATGGAAATGGAAATGGAAATGGGCAGGGGGAGGAAGATAATAAAAGAGGCCCTTACACAACCACTGATACTACATTAGAAATTAGAGTATGATTTCACTCAGCTCCACACCTGAAGCCAAAAGGAAAAATAAAAAGGAAACACCTATACAATTGGATGTTTTTTAAAAGCAGTTAAAAGTAGACAATATGAAATGCTCAATAATATAAATAGAATATTAAGTATAATTACTTAGGTTAGCATAATTACCAAACTCTCAATTACTTAATGGATGATTATAGATCAGCTAGACTCCTTCTCATTGTTCAGAATTTGGTCATTTCACTGTACAGAGGACTGACTACCATTTAAGAAGAAGAGTTCAAGCATCCCACCTCCATCTTTTTGTTTGTTGCTAGAAGATATAATTAAGGTCACTGTGGCAAAAAGTTTATAGTAATGACTAACACTGGAGATTTCAATTATCTATAAAGTTTAGCTATAAGAATTAACTGCCAATTAATTATATGTTAAATAAAATGGAAAAGTAATCTTCTATATTATTATTATTTTCTATTCAAATATATAAAGTGATGGAGAGAAAAGAAAGAACACCTGGAACATACCAGGAATATTTCACTCTTTCCCCAGGAGTCATACGGTTGGGGGGTACTTACCTCAAAAGGGAACTTTTACAATACTAACCTTGCAGAGCCTCTGAAGTCTTTAAACTCTATATTGAGAAGAGGCAAGAAGTTGCTTTTACAGAATGGGCAAGTTGTATTCAAATTGGAATCATCTGCTGTCCATCCAGCCATAATTTCTTCGTCATAAACTAAGGCTCCACAAGCTCTGCACTGTGAACAACTTGACATCAAAACCTAAGAGCAGAAACGTGCAGACACTGAAAAGCGCCACAGTGACGACTTTAAGAGACAATTCTACCTTAATAAACAGAATTTTATTTCTTTTGTTGATCAAATTTGGAATTAGGAGTTCAATTATTTTATCTACCAGTTTTATTGCCTTGCTTATAAAGATATCAAACGAATTCAGAAAAATATTTATTTTATTATTATGTTGACAAGGGTATCATAGGATTCTGTTAAATGTTACTTTTGAAATAAAAATATGGTCACAGCCACTTTATCATGAGCAGAAATAGAACTTTTACCTCCATTGCACAATTCTGAAAGATGCTAGACATACTGGTGTTTTGAGAAGAACCATGATCTGATTTGTCAAAGTCCTGCCCTTTTATGCCTCTTGGAAGTAGAAGTTCTCCTAGAAAGAAGTAACCATCATATCACATTATGTAAGAGAATGTCCTTACTCTTAGGAAATGCATACTTTAGCATTTAGGAGGAAGTATATGACACCTGCTATTTATTTTCAAATGGCTCAATATAAAAAGGTTTATTATATATCCATATCAGAATCACCTGGAGAATTTACTTAAAAATATGTACATTATGTTTAAGTTCTAGGCTAAAATTTTTGAGACTGAGTCTGTGGGATAGGGTTTGTGTATTTTTAACCAGTTTTCTGCTTGAATACCAGAGTTTGAGAGTCCCTCTGCTGTAACAGTGAAATGTCTTAGTTCTGTTATTTTTTAAAATTATAATTCTATTTTACCCAGATTTCTATTATGAAAAAGTTCAAATGTCCTGAGAAGTTGAAAGAATCATATAGTGAATAATCATATATCCTCTACCTAGGTGATTCTGATACTCAATGAAGTTTAAGAACGAATGATATAATCCACAAATATACACAACTAAAATCATTAACTAGTATTTGTAGACCGTATAAAATAACAGTGACAGTATGATGTGGCTATATTTAAAATCTATTTGTGAGATCATCTCATCAAATGAGGCTTATTTTATGTGTGATGGGAGAAGGGAAAGGTAAGGCACATATTAGAAGACAGGACAGTCCTTCCAATACCTGCTGAGTAATGGGATTTTCCTATATCTCCACTGCTGCTGCTACTGCCAAGGCTTGTGTTACTCTGGGTAAGTTCACTGGGGACCAATGCTGAGATACTTGTGTTAGGTGACATATTCTCCTCCAAAACATGATCTTCAAGGCCAGCTGGGAAGCTGTAATCTTTACTAGTTTCCTCCTTTAATTGAAAAAACAAAACAAAACACAAAACCACACACATAAATAATACCTTCATTAATGAGAATATATTTACCTTTTTCAGAATGAAACTCCTTTATAATCCCTAAATAAATCATTCCCCCATATTTTTCAAAACTATGAACTTCTTCTATTATTTGTAATTTCCCTTCCAAACTTGAAAATATTCAAGCAGTGACCTATATTTTACTTTAAGATTTTGCTGGTTATGTTTGGGGTATCAATATTTTAATACTGAATACTTTCAATATTCAGTATCATAAAATGAAGGAACCCTAAGAGTTCACTGCCAGTGGGATGGGGGATGGCAACACAAGTGAGTGGGAGCTTTAGTCAGAGCCAGAGTGAAATCTTGGCTCCCCATCACAATTAGGTATCTGACCTTATAAAAATTACTTCTCTAACATTTAATTATATCATCTGAAAATATAAGTCATTTAAAATAAGGTTGTGAGACTTTCATTTGGAAATTTGATTTTCAGAGTAACAACCATCAACAGTAGAGATATTATAAATTAAGTTCCAAACACTAGTCCTTCATCATCGTGATTATTGATGCTTTAGTTTAAATAAAACATCTCAATAAGTGGTCTTTTTAATTTTTGCTTTAAAGAAGACTTGTATCTTCTGTTTTATAAAACCATATCAAATGATAAAATTTTAAATATAGATATGCAAAACAGGGAATAAAAGCACTTATATCAATACCCAGAGTACAAACAAAACTTGATGTATATCCTCCTAATTTTAAAATATGCATAATAAATTTTTATAAAATAGAAATTGTTTTAAATCTATTGTTTTTTAATCTATTCTGATTATGCAATTTATTTGTAGACGATTTAATGAGATTGAATGACATTATTTAAACCCCTCCATACTAATCCAATTTACTGATGTACTATTATGTATTTTGCTTTAAATTTTATATAAGTTACACTGATGAATTCCCTTGAGCTACTTTTACACAATAAACATTTAATAGATTTTTTATTCTTTTCTTCCTTTGAAATTATTGATTAGGTATATCTTATTTGCTTTGCCAGGCACTGGTATTGGGGCTATAGCATTGAAAAGAAAAGAAAAATTAAGTTCTGTGACCATTTGGAATTTACAATCATATATTCCAAGTCCAAATTACTCTGTATAAAGCTTTTAAAAACACTGTTAGATAAAATTTCAAATATAAAACAGCTCACCTTTTAAAAAAAAATGCCAGGTTAAGATACTTTTGAAGCTAGCTTATTTAGTCTTTCCTTAACTGACCTGTAAGCTCTTCAAATGCAACATACAATTTGTGTTATAATACCGTACTTTTAATTCAATTAAATTTGCCTATAAGTTTTCCTTCAAATAGTATACAAATTTTATCTGTCCAATTTAATATCCTATCTCTACTTACTATTTAGAATTTTAGCAACCTGAAATTGATTATATTATCTTGAAAATGAATGTTTTAAGCCTTCATACTTTTCCCATTATTCTCTCAGATACACATTCTGTCCTCTGATCACTTTGACTACCCAAAGCTTTCAATTTATCTATCAAAACCCAACTTAAGATATCATCTGCTTTGCTCTTTTTGGACAGTCCCCACAGGAACATTTTCTAAGATATTGGTCCCTTTTTTGCTACTATAGTTGTCAACAGCATGAACTCTAGAGCCAATCTCCAAAACTTCAAATCCTAGTTCTGCTACTCACTAGGTTGTATGACTTGGGGAAGTTAATTAATCTCTCTAAATCTCAGATACCTCATTTATAAAATGGGGATGATAGTAGTACCAACCCATGGGATTGCTACAAAAATTAAACATGTGAGCATGTATATTCATGTATAAAAATAAATATGTAACTTATGGCAATACCTAGAACATAGTGCTATAATAATAAACATTTATAGATCTGTTTTTTCTACTAAAATACTATGATTCTTTAAACACAATATCAAAATTTTAGTTTTCTATGAAATAAGCAAAATTTCCCCACTTCTATTGTCATAAGAAGATATAACATTAATTCTCTTTACAATTATTTTTAAAAGAATTACCAGTTTTTGTTATGCAGTATGAAATCTATGGATCAACCTGTGAAAAGAGCTCATATATATTAAAAAAAAAAAAAAAAAGGTAAATTTATTTAAAAAGTGAAATGCTATGCCAATATAACATGGCACCATTATTAAATTAAAACATTAATCATTAGTGCTTTCAAAGAAATGAACTAAATGTATTGATCTATGCAATTATATAGCCCTGATATTCTATTTCTTCATTATTAATTTCCTTACATGTAGGTTCAAGTCATTTAAAGAAATAAGATATATACAAAATTTTAAAATATAAACATCAAAGTTACAGAAATTTCTAAATAATAATTTGTATATTAAAAATACTATAAACATTCTAATATCAGATAAGACTACACACATAAAACATTCTTACCTCATCATCTGAGTAGCTGTAGGCAGTCGCTACAGCAACCAACATCTTACTGGCTACTGTCGCTGCCTGTTTCATACCCGATTTTAGGACATCTATCTTGGGCCCTGAGAGTAGATTATCCAGCTTTAGCCCTGACAAAGAATTTACCACAGAACCCAATGAGCCATGTGGTGAAGAACGCATCAGTGCTGATAACGAAGTTGGACGTTCTCTGTGACCTCGAGAGGGAGTCTGCTGCTTGAAACGCCCAGTGAAAGTTTTAGACCTGGACACTGCAGGGGAGCTCTTTTCACTTTCAGGCTTTTCCTGCGCTGGTGGGTCAGGATCTAAAGGTAAGCTTGATCGCCTCTCTAAAGGGTGAATAAGTGCAGTGGAAGTGCCAGACTCTCTGTTTCCCTCTCCGTGTAATTCCATACTAGAAGACTTGCTACCCAGGGGACTCTTGAGGTTCATATAGTTTTCAATTTCATCAGCCAGATTACGTGCAATAACTGGAGAAAACAACTTATCTTCAGAATCAGTTTTTTCTACTATAAATTCAGTGGCTAAAAGAGATAAAGGATCTAGTCCAGTTTCAACATCTTCCCTCTCAACAGCTTTAGCAACACCATATAAACTACTTCTTTTATTTATTAGATCTTTGGGCTCTGCTTTTAAGTCTCTGGACTGATCACTGTCACTATCATTTTGTAGACTGTCATGTGTATCCTTTGTCACAGCAGTTATAGCTATGCTGTCATCAGTCACAGGTTCTAGGAGCTCTTGGCTTTCCTCAAGCATCTCCAACACTGAAGATCTGTGCTCAGAATCCCAAGTGCTTTCAGGCCCAGGAGTCCTAGTATCAGCAAGATGACAGCCAACACTCTCAAAGCTATGGGTTTTTGCAATATGAAGTGGAAAAGTCTTAGGATATGTCAGTGCAGCTGTGAGAATCTTGGCATCTGCTCCCATCATGATAGCTACTTCACTTGAATTCAAATCCAAACTGCTCTTCTTTAGCAACATTCCTGCTCGACTTTCAGAACTAAAACTACAACTCCTCTCTGGAAAATGCTTTTGTCTCTTTTCTCCTTTATCACCGTTCTTGAGATTAGTAACTTCACCAAAGACTGTATCTTCAATTGGATCCAGAGTAGAAAATACCGCATTTGATGTACTACCTAAAAGAGAAAGTACAGTATTAAAAACTAATCTGATGACTAAAATAATATTTTATTTTAAAACTGTCTGATTTCTTGAAAGTTACACATACTCCGTAAAAGATTCAGAATATTTAGAGGGTAAAAAGAAAGCATACAGAAAAAAAAAAAAAAAAAGTACAAAAAACTCCATTCAACCCTGCCTCCCAAAGATAAGATTTTAATGTATAATCTGCCTTTCATCTTCTATGCAATACACACACACTTTAAAAAAGGATCTTGCAATATATACCTGTACTGTTTATTAAAATATCTCATTTATAAATATAGATCTACATTTTAAGGGTTTAGTATCCAACTTTAAAAATATATTCTGGCCCAGCTGATGTGGCTCAGTGGTTGAGTGTCAACCTATGAACCAGGAGGCCACATCGATCCAGGGTCAGGGCACATGCCTAGGTTTGGGGCTCAATCCCCTGTAGGGGGCATGCAGGAGGCAGCTGATCAGAGATTCTCTCTTAACATTGATGTTTCTATCTCTCCCTCTCTCTGAAATCAATAAAATATATATATATATATATATATATATATATATATATATTATTTATTAGATCTTTGGGCTCTGCTTTTATTATTATATATATATATTTTTTATTTATTAGATCTTTGGGCTCTGCTTTTATTTATAATATATATATATATATATATATATATATATATATATATATATATTTTTTTTTTTTTTTTTTTTTTTTTTTTTAAAAGGCATGACTGCCCTGGCCGTTTTCTCAGTGGTTAGTGCACTGGCTCCTGGACCAAAGGGTTCCATTCCCATCAAGAGCATATACCTGGGTTGCAGTCAATCCCTGGCTCTGGTCAGAGTGCATACAGAAGGCAATCAATAGATATGTCTCTCTCATATCAATGTGTCTCTCTCCCTCCTCTCTCTCTCTTTCCCCCCCTTTTCCCCTCCCTCCCCCTTTTTAAAAAAATATATTTTATTGATTTTAAAAAATATATATTTTATTGATTTTTTACAGAGAGGGAGAGAGAGGGATAGATAGTTAGAAACATCGATGAGAGAGAATCATCGATCAGCTGCTTCTTGCACAACCGCTACTGGGGATGTGCCCGCACTAAGGTACATGCCCTTGACTGGAATTGAACCCAGGACCTTTCAGTCCGCAGGCCGAGGCTGTATGCACTGAGCCAAACCGATTTCGGCCCCTCCCTCCTTTTTTCCCTTTCCATCTTCCCTCTCTCCCTCTCTTTCTAAAAAAAACATAGGAAAAAATATCCTTGGTGAGGATTAAAAACAAAAAGCATTATGACTTGAGAGATTTGAAGGAAAAATCTTTAATAAGGTTCTTTTTTAATTTTCCAAACTGATTTTAAGCTTCTTTTTCTTTTGATTTTTAAAATGTTTTTATTGATTTTAGAGAGAAGGGAGAGGGAAAGAGATAGAAACATCAAAAAGAAACATAGATGGGCTATTTCCTACATACCCCCTACTGGGGGCTGAGATGCAACCTGGGCATGTGCTCTAACCAGGATTTGAACCAGCAACCTCCTAGTGCATGGAACAAAGCTCAATCAACTGAGCCACACAACAAGGCCCAAGCTTCTTTTTAATCTTCCAAATTGGTACCAACTAATAATTATAATCATACCAATTAAATAGAACTAATAATAAGCATTCAGAGATATTTTTAAAGCATATTTTACAAACTTGTACCTGCTTTGAAAACTTTTACCAATATTTAAGAAACAGATTTTTACAATTTACTGGTTCTCATAGTATCTGCAGAAATTTAGTAGAACATTTTGTCCAATTTTAAAATGAATTTAACTGATGTATTGGGAAAAGCCCCATTACCACCTCCTTTCTTAATAACATAAATCTTCCTAAATCAGAATGTAACATGGAAATAAGATGAGTAAAATGGGAAGGAAACACACCAGTTTCCAGACCACATCCATTTCAGTATTCTGAGAAGATTCTAACCCTTTGACGAAGAAAACTCTGCCCTCCTTTTTTTTTTTTCTCTTAACCTGCTAACAGCAGGTTAGGAAAATGGGATACAGAACATATATCAATTATTTGTTCAAAAAACTTTTAGCTCCACCTCCTGTGTGCTGTCCCCTCACCCCCACACACACAAAAAAAATGAACTGACTTTATGTCACAGTAAATACAAAAAATAAAAAGACTTCAGAAATAAGAAGTATTACTACATAGATTTAAAAAGCTAGGCAAATTAAATTCTATAAAGTCATACAATAGATACACTGACAGACAAGAGAGTTTACTTTAGAGAAGTGAATTATAACTACTAACAAAAAGCACAGGATACAGACTAATTTCATTATCCTTTAAAATCCTATGCTTAGATATATGCCTTAAAGAATATTTTGAAAACAACAACAACAAAAAACACCAAAAAATAAAAGAGTACTTTGGAGACTATAACATATTTGAAATTAGTAAACTCAAATTCAAGATAGTCACACAGAACAATTATTCATTACAAATACTTAATCACAAATAAGTGGCTCAGGGTGCTTATAACAACTTGGCTAACGAAACCGGTTTGGCTCAGTGGATAGAGCGTCAGCCTGTGGACTAAAGGGTCCCGGGTTCGATTCCGATCAAGGGCATGTACCTTGGTTGCGGGCATATCCCCAGTAGAGGGTGTGCAAGAGGCAGCTGATCGGTGACTCTCATCAATGTTTATAACTCTATCTCTCTCGCTTCCTCTTTATAAAAATCAATAAAATATATTATAAAAAACAAAACAACAACTGGGCTAAAATTAAAGGCCCACTGGCATTTTGTGTAGATAGTAAATGATGTCAATCATTTTTTTTCCATTTCCCTTCAGTGACAGGAATTATACTACCATACATAAGTGCACTTGAATTTGATCACATCACTGTATCTCTTGTTTTTTTTAAAATATATTTTTTTATTGATTTTTAGAGAGAGGAAATGAGAGGGAGAGAAAGATAGAAGCATCTATGAGAGAGAAACATCAACACTGGCTGGCTGCCTTCTGTATGCTCCTTGCTGGGGATTAAGCCCAGAACCCAGGCATGTGCTCTGACCAGGAATGGAACTGGCAACCTTTTGGTGCATGGGTCGACGACTAACCACTGAGCCACCCAGCCAGGTTTCATCTCTGTTCTTAATGAGAAAAGGAATCCCTCTAGTCCCCTCTCATTACTTATTGTGAGAGAGTGGAACCAAACTGAACAGGCACTCCTACAAGAAAAGGTATTCCAAATAAATAAAAACTCTAAAAACCTCTCTTTTTAAAAGTTAAATATCTTTAAATATTAGTTCATTTATAGAATTTAAACTTACTTCTGGCTCTTCAGCATGTTCATTATACTGTAATTAAGTCAACACTTTACTGTCAGTAAGCACATGTATATCTGTAGAAGTATATTTTAAATATTTAATAACCAACACATAAAGACTCACCAGTGCTGCTTTTTCTGCCATTGACATCAAATATACCAGATGGAACTTTCACAATACTGCTGCCCCACGCAGGAGGCTCAGTTGGACTGTGTGGCTCTCCACTAACTTGTGAATGTTTTGCCACCACAGCAGAGACATCACACACCTCTGGGGAAAATACATTTGGATGTTATCGTTCCTAATTGTGCCAATATTGAAAAAAAACCATATATTTGATTTTAATACATTCTATGTAGTTTTCTACCTCCAAGTGGGGATGAATATATGACTATTTTATTACTGACTAGTTATGTCTGATTTACTTTATTCCATAAATGCTGCCAGTATTGACTAAGATAAAAGTTTTATTTTAGCATTCAATAATCCTAACTTGAGCATTCTTAAATAATGCTCAGGCCTTCAGTTATACTCATCACTTGTCTAGTAGGAGATGGGCTTGATTCTGCATAACTGGAGTATAAAATAGGTGACATCAATGAAAAAAGGCGTACACACCCTGACCGGGACTCAAAACCCCCCCCCCCCCCCACATTTTGGTTACAAGATGATAATCCAACCCACTGAGCCATACTGTCCAGGGCAAAGAAAGTATACTTTAGTGTAAAAAGATAGGAAGAACATCTTATTACCATAAAGCCAAAATATTCCTCCATGTTTCTATAAAAAATTACCACAAATCATTTCTACCTCAATGAGTTTCATTAAAAAAAAAAAAAAAAACACAAAACACACACACACACACACACGAAATCACAAAGACTATTTAACCTACCAATAAAAAATATGCACTTAGATATTTGAAGGACTTAGCATTTTAAAATAAAGGGGACACTAGAATACAAGTTTGATGACTCAAAGTTTAGTCTTGGTTCTGTCACAAAGTAGTTATATATATTTCGCAAATAGATACTTTAATGAGTCACAGACGGCTAACCTATTGAATCTTTAAAGACCTCTTAAATTCTAAAATTCAGATACTATTAAAACCTATCATATATAATGGTACATAGTATCTTATAAGCTCAGACCTTACACTTCTAAAAATTATCAACTAAATTATCAAATAACACTTATAGTTAACACAGGTATTTTTCTAAGTAAAGCTAGAAAATATCAGTACTTACCTTCTGTTTGCATTTTTGTTTTAGTTATCAATTCTCTTGCTACTTGTTCTTCAGGCACATTAATTTCTGTATCATCCTTTATAAGTTCATCCTTAGACCCATACCCTTGGTCAGACTGACCACCTGTGAAAAAAACAATGCAGGCTTACATAGAAATGTTTTCATATACTTACAATCCAGCTATAACATTTCAAAAGAAAATGACACTTATCTACATAATTAAACCTAGAAAAAAGGAAAATTTACAAAGCACACAGATCATTTTAAAAATAGTAAGAAGCAAAGAACAGTAGGAACAGGAATACCAACCATTATACATTTGAAAGCACTGAACCCTAATTTCCTTATCTGAAAATTAATAGAATTGGATGAGATGTCTTTTGGAGTGTATCTATAGAATGCTACTTTTTGTGTACAAAGGAGAAATAAAAACAAGCTTATACTTTCTTGCTTTTGCAAAAAGAAATGAAGGAATATTTAAACAAAAACAAAACTTGTTACCTACATAAGGTGGGGCAAAATAGGATGGAAGGGATAGAGAAACTTTTCTAAATATGGCTTGTTATAGTTTCTATTTTTAGAAAAGCCCTAATTTCTAAATATTCATAAAAATGCACCAATAAAGTAATTTTATTGATGGGAACATGGGAGGGAAAGTAACTAAAATTGAATGCAAACAGAAACAAATGAAACCAATTCTATTTCATATGAATAGCATAACCACACTAGAAGGATGGGAGGACTCATACAAGTAACTTTGGAACACATTTTTTGAATATATACTCTAAGTCTGGGGATAACAGTCAATTCCTGAAATCCTTAGGGGGGTTGTTTTTCACAGGGGAATGGATGTAGCAATTCTGAAATTATGTATCACTCAGGTCTGAGCAAATGAGTAAATGTGACAATATTTCTGGGAGCCAAAATTCTTACTGTAGAACAAAGAATTAAAAAAAATAATAATTGCCGAAGCCGGTTTGGCTCAGTGGTAGAGCATCGGTCTGTGGACTGAAGGGTCCCAGGTTCGATTCCGGTCAAGGGCATGTACATTGGTTGAGGCACATCCCTGGTGGGGGGTTGGGAGGGGGTGCAGGAGGCAGCTGGTCGATGTTTCTCTCTCATCCATGTTTCTAGCTCTCTATTTCTCTCTCCCTTCCTCTCTGTAAAAAATCAATAAAATATATTTAAAATAATAATAATAATAATAATAATAATAATAATAATGAAGGAAGGCAAAGAAAAACCTGTGGGGTTGATTGGAATAAGAAGTATTTCTACTATATATATTTCTAGCTCTGCTGAAAAGGTCTAGAAGCAGTAACACCTTGGTAGTAGTAAACACACCTATAGCCCAAACCTTTGTTTCTAAAATGTATTGCCCATTAAAAGAAACTTAGGATCCTTGAAGAAATGGCTGATTCCAGAGTTCAGGAAGGGAAGGTATAAGAGTAAGCCAGGAACATTTTATTATGCAAGAAAGGAAGTGCTCCAAAACACGATAGAGCCCGGCCATGTAGGAGGCAGCTGGTCGATGTTTCTATCTCTCTATTCCTTTCCCTAAAAAAATACAAAAAAACAACATGGAGGAGGCATGCCTAAAGGATATATGATAGAATACCATCTTATAAATGTGAAGGGAGTTTAGAGTTGGTAAAACCACCAGTTTATAACCATGACAGTAAAGACTGGTTCAGGCAAGAATCTTCAATGGATGCTAAATTTAAAAGAGAAAATGTGATAAGACAGAGGCTACTACTGCACAGCCTCCCAGGGTCTCTTTACAGATAGATTATTATTATTATTACAGTAACTAAGAGAAACCAAACATTGAGACTAGTGATCAAAACTAACCTCACCAATGAGGAGCAGACACTGTGTGCCTCTGCCACATGAAAATCTGAGGAAACCATATCACTTTTGTAGCAGGGCCGTGGATGCATAACCTAATCTAATCAAATGGTGTATGAGGCAGGCTCAAACTGAGGAGCATTCCACAAAATAACTGGACTGAATTCTTCAAAAGGTTCAAGGTCATGAAAGACAAGGAAAGGGTGAGGAACTGTGCCAGGTTAAAGGAGAATAAAGAGAGGGAGTTAAAGTACCACAAAGGACATCACAATAATTAACAAAATTGTAACATAGACTATAGATTAAAGCAGTCTATCAATTGAATTTGGTAACTATACTGTGGTTATGAAAGAAAAGTATAAGCAAGTCAATATATCTTGCCCAGTAACAGGGCAAGATATATTGACTTGCTTGCACATGATTGCAAAAAATAAATAACCATATAGAAAGAAAACAAATGAGACAAAAAGTGAGCAAATCTAAATTAAAGTTATTTAAGAATTCTCTACTATTCTGCAACATTTCTATAAGTTTGAAATTATTTAAAAATGAAGTTTTTGAAAGTTTATTTTGGCTTTAAAATTATATCATTTAAAACCAAACTAAGGCCAATTACTAGATAATCCTTTTATAAAGAACATCAATGAAAACACATAAAAAAATACAGTGTCTTATACTTTCCACTACTACTTGTTACACTGTTGGTTAAACATTGGGTTTGCCTAATATATAACAAAAAGAACTAAACTTCTTTAAATGCCATTTGAATGACTAATTTGTCATGTTTCTATTGACTCCTTCAGAAAGGCTGCTAAACATTGTGGTGCTGTGAAAGGACACTAGACTGGGAACTGACTAAACTGATCAAGCCCAGATATGCTCCGGAACAAGTGACTCAGTATCAGGTACCAAGTGGAAAAGATTCTACAAGATAATTCTTAATGAAAAGAGTAACTTAAGCATCTGGGCTATAAGTCTCCAGAAATAAAAAATGGCATCATTAGAAACTCTACAGAGATATACAATAACTGTAAATTTAGTATAGGGGCTTCAACCATTTGAAATGCAGCTGAAAAGAAACATGAAAAAGGGATCTGAAGTTTCTTCTCCAACTATTGGAATCTTTACATCAATTACACAGGATTACTAGGAGATTTTTTTCTATTAAAGGAGACAAATTTAAAAATGTAGAGGAATAAGGAGAGTATTTATTATTATTATTATTATTATTATTATTCCTGGTGAAATGATTTCATACCACAATATTACTTTCTTGGTATTTCCTAAGTGCAATCCATCTCATTTATAAGTATTAGAAAACATACAGGAGGAAATAAAATAAGGTGGCTTCAAAATAAAAGTCTCATAAAAATTTCTACTTGATAAAATAAAATTACAAACAGGATTGTAACTTAGCCTTATGTTGACTTTCAATGATTCATACATGACTCTGTAACTATGCAGGTAGTTTTTCACTTAAGAATTCAGATCAATCAAAACAGCCTGGTACTGCCACAAGAATAGGCATGTAGATCAATGTAAAGAACAGAAAACCCAGATATCTACTCAAGCCATTAGGCCCAAATAATTTTTGATTAAAGAGGCAAGAGCATACAATGAAGTAAAGACAGCCTCTTAATAAATGGTATTGGGATAATTGGACAGCTACATGTAAATAAATGAAACTAGACCACCAACTTATTCCATCCACAACAATAAACTCAATATGAATAAAAGATTTAGCCCTAGCTGGCTTGGCTCAGTGGATAGAGCTTCGGCCTGCAGACTGAAGGATCCCAGGTTCGATTCTGGCCAAGAGCACATGCCTGGGTTGCGGGCTCGATCCCCAGTTTGGGGTGTGTGTGTGTGTGTGCAGGAGGCAGCTGATCAATGATTCTCTCTCATCATTGATTTTCTCTCTTCTTCTTTGAAATCAATAAAGAAATATTTAAAAAAAAAAAAAAAAAAAAAGATTTAAGTGTAAGTCGTGAAACCATAAAAATCCTTGAAGAAAACTTAAGCAACAAATTATCAGAAATCTCACATAATAAAACTTACACTGATACAATGCCTAGGGCAAGAGAAACAAAGGAAAAAAGAAACAAACGCGACTACATCAAAATAAAAAGCTTCAACAGAGTAAAAGAAATCAGCATCAAAAAAATGAAAAGGAAACCCCTTTAAGGGTGAGCATATTGCCAACATCTGATAATCTCCAAAATATATAAAATACTCATACAACTCAACAAAAGGAAGACAAACAATCCCATCAAAAAATGGGCAGAAGACCTAAATAGACACTTCTCCAAAGAGGACATACAAATGGCCAAGAGACATATGAAAAAATGCTCAGTCACTAATCAGAAAGATGCAAATTAAAACAGCAATTAGGTACCACCTCACCTCTGCCAGAAATAAATCAACAAATGAAAAGTGCTGGTGAGGATGTGGCAAAAAGGAACCCTAGTATATTGCTGGTGGGAATGCAGACTGGTACAGCCACTGTGGAAAACAGTGTGGAATTTCCTCAAAAAATTAAAAATGGAACTGCCATTTGACCTAGTGATCCCACTTCCAGTATACCATGGAATACTATGTAGCAATAAAAAAGGATCTCTTATCCTTTGAGGCAGCATGGGAAGTCCTAAAGAGTATTATGCTAAGCAAAATAAGCTGGTCAAAGAAAGACAAGTATCTCATGAGCTCACTTATATGTGGAATTTAATGGACAAAACAAACTGACAAAATAGATCCAGAGACATGGAGGTATACAAAAGACTGAGGATCCTCAGATGGAAGGGGGGAGGGGTGAGAAGAGAACAATCAAAGAACTTATATACATAACCCATGGACACAGACAATATTTGGGTGAAGGCCTGGGGTGGGGACAGAAATAGAGAGGGAGAGGGTCAATGTGGGGAAAAGGATGAAGACATTTGTAATACTTGCAACAATAAAGATAAAATAAAAAAAATAATAATTCAGATCAGTTTTAGCAAGCAAAAACCACCTCAACAGCTAGAACACTGAAAGCTTTAATGACTATAAAACCATCGAACACAATAATGCTATAAACCAACCACAAAATAAGAATTATAGTAAGGGCCCTAACTGGTTTGGCTCAGTGGATAGAGCGTCGGCCTAAAGACTAAGGGTCCTACGTTTGATTCTGGTCAAGGGCATGTACCTTGGTTGCGGATACATCCCCAGTAGGGGGAGTGTAAGAGGCAGCTGATCAATGTTTCTCTTTCATTAATATTTTTAGCTCTCTATTCCTCTCCTTTTCTCTCTGTAAAAAAAAAAAAAAATCAATAAAATATTTTTTTAAAAAGAACTATAGTAAGGGAGAAACCAAGATATCGGTAGAAGGTAAATACCTGTACGTGCTGCCTCTCACAACCATACCAAAACTACAACTAAAAAACAAAACAACTATCCCCTAGAACCAAGGGAAAGCTGGCTGAGTAGAAGTTCTACAACTAAAAGGAAAGAAAAATGCGCAATGAGACCAGGAAGGAGGTTCAGAGGCGTAGAAAAGCAGAGGTATGGAGTTGTGCGAATCGGTCTGGCAACTGGGTGTGCTATTTTTTCCAATTGAAAGGGAGATAAAAGCTCTTGATTGCTCTGAACTCAGTTTCCAGCAAGACTCTGGTGACCCAGACTCCTACAGGGAGAAGCTGGACTGTCTGGCATCAGGTGGGAAAGTGAGGGTAGCTTTCTCGCAGAGGTGCTCGCAGGAATCATTGTTTACTGTGCTGGGACATGAGATGCAGGGATGCGGAAATGCGGAGACACAGAGACAGCTGACTGGCAGCAATCGCTGTTTGCTATGCTCTGGTGATTCCCTGAAACCCCGCCCCACCCAATTTACAAACCCACTAAAGCAGCGGCTTTGCATATGAATGGCCTGCCCTTTGCAGCTTAACCTAACAAACTGCAGTTGGATCAGAGAGCTCCAAAACTTCTAAACCCCAAACAAAGAGGAGAAATCTGCAGATCCCACTGCAGATCCAGTTCTTGCTGGGTAGCCTCAGGCAGTTGCTGACTTGCACCTCCTTGGAGATCAGGAGCCAGTGTACCAAGAGGTCAGCATGGGACAACACCAGATTTCAACTCCTCACATGCATTAATGACACACTCAAGAGGGAGACTCAGTGAGCACCAAAGCCCCACTGAAGCAAGTCCTGCCCCATAAAGGTGTCTCCAGCACAGCAATTCTTCCATTATAGACATCGCTGATCCTCACAACCAATTGGCCTGGAGGTCAATTCCTCCCAGTGTACCAACAGCAACCAAGGCTCTATAAGATTGTGCACTCAGCCCCCAAGAGTGTCCACCTCAGGCGATTGGGGAGGCTAAGCCACTGGACCCTATAGGTCACATACCACACAAAGCCACTCCATCAACACAGGGAAGCAGCCAAAATGCGGAGATAAAGAAACATGTCACAAATGAAAGAAATGGAGGAAAGCAAATTACTGGATATAGAGTTATAAGATTACTCAAGAATCTTCTAGAAACCACCGAGAAACTTAGAGAGACCTCTGAGGAACGTAGTGAGACCTTCAGAGATCTTAATGAGAATGCCAAAAAAAAAAATGGAAAAGGACCAGTCAGAAATTAAGCATACATTGTCTGGAATAAAGAATATTAATATATAGAAATCCAAAAACAGACTACAGGACCCCAAGAATCAAACCAAAGATTTGAGATATGAGGAAGCAAAAAATACCCAATCAGAAAAGCAAAAATAAAAAAGAATCCAAAAATATGAAGATAATATAAGGAGCCTCTGGAACAACTTCAAGTGTACCAATATCCAAATTATGGGGGTTCCAGAAGAGAGAGAGCAAAATATTGGAAACCTCTTAGAAGAAATAATGATAGAAAACTTTTCCTACCTGGTGAAAGAAATAGACTTACAAGTCCAGGAAGTGCAGAGAACCCCCCAAAAAAGGAATCCAAAGGGGACCACACGAAGAAACATAATTAAAATGCCAAGGGCAAAAGACAGAGAGAATCTTACAAGCAGCAAGAGAGTACCCATATGAATGTCAGCTGATTTCTCAACAGAAACTATGCAGGCCAGAAGGGAGTGGCAAGAAATATTCAAAGTGATGAACAACAAGAACCTACAACCAAGATTGCTCTACCCAGCAAAGCTGTCACTCAGAATTAAAGATCAGACAAAAAGCTTCACAGACAAGAAAAAGTTAAATGAGTTCATCACCACCACACCAGTATTATGAAATGCTAAAGGGCATTCTTTAAGAAGAGGAAGAAAAAGGTAAAGATAAAAATTATGAACAAAGTGACAACAAATATGTATCTATCAACAAGTGAATCTAAAAATCAAATGAATAAAAAATCTGATGAACAGAATAAACTGATGAATATAATAGAATCAGGGGCATAGAAAAGGAGTGGACTGACAATTCTTGGAGGGAAGGGGGCATGAGGGGTGCGGGAAGAGATTGGACAAAAATCTTACACCTATGGATGAGGACAGTGGTAGGAGTAAGAGCATGGGGTTGCGGTGGAGGGGGGTGGAATCAGGTGGAAGGGAGCTATGGGGGGAAAAGAGGAATATCTGTAATAATCTGAACAATAAAGATTTATTTAAAAAGAAAAGAAAAAAAAGAATTATAGTAAGGTATAGTATATTTACAAATAAGGTAACAAATTAATCATAAATTTTAGTTGAATATTTTCAGTAGCACATATATGATTATACTTATCTGAAAGAGAAAAAGCCCAAAAAACAACAAAAGTACTCTCCCCAATCCTTGCATGTCGGCAAAATTTAACTTAAAAAATGGGAAATTACCTGAAGAGGTTAATAGTCAATAGTAGAATTAACGCACACGTGTATCCATAGCTTCATGTCATATAAGCCTGTCTGTACCCCCACACCATGACAGCCAAGGACAAATGCAGCACCAAGAAACAGCACACAGCAATAAGCAGAGCAACGAAGAGCAGAGAAAGGAAACTTCAGTCATTGAGACAAGATATCAGATGAAGCACAGGAATTAGAATTCTTTTTAAAGAAAAGCCTGAGATATTAACAACAAAAAAGAACAAATAAGATGTGCAACACACATGTATCTGCTCAATGTGTTATGCTTAATTCTACCTTCAGAGGACAGAGGTTATGCCCATAGCTTTGTATGTAAAAGTAGCTTCAATAATTTCTTAGATTTTTAAAAGTGTCATTTAAGGTAATGACTATGCAGAAAATACTTTTTCTCATGGTGTGCAAATTATTTTCTTTCCTCTTTAATTCTAATAATCTCAAAAAAAGATTTGCAAGTTTTGTCATTAACATTCAAGTTCCTCATTGCACATTCACTAACAATTATATCATCTACTTTGACAAATGAATGATGAACAAATAGAGAGAAGTTCCATGCCTAGAGCCTTTTGCACAACACTCCAAAGTTGACTATAGGAAATAAAAAGAGGTGAACAGAAATCAAAGGTATAATTTCTGCATTTATATACATTATTTTAGAAGTACCTAAAGCTCATATTACCCAAACTCAAGAGGGGTGTAAAAGCTTTTTTAAAATGGAAAGACTTAACATGAGATTAAGTGAAGGGTTAGTAAATCCAGATTTAGTACCTGTGCTAGAGTGATTATCAATGGAATCAAGACTGATTAAATCTCTGACGAAGACTGTGTGCTCCCCATTGTTAGCATCATTAGAACTATCCACGCTACCGTGGCTCACCGTGTCCCCATCACTTCCACCTGTGGCATTCTGAGGAGCTAAAGATAAGGACAATAGTAGTTCAATAATTCATGCACTGACAATCTCTGAAACTAAACATCAATGACCCAGAGTTCATTTAAAGTTGCAGAACACTTTCTAAATATGGGGTGGGGGGAAAATTTGGAGCTAAGATAATATATCTTTAATTATATAAAAAATTATCAACTAGAATTTATGTTTTCTACTTCATATAATTATACTTCAAACTACAGGAATTATACTTCATATAATTAAATTATACTTCATATAATTAAAATTCAGATAACTCTGAAGATTATGGTTCAGCAAGAAAATATCTTTCCAATCACATGTATTACCTGATATTGAGGAGACCTGTGACTTTTGCACGGACTTTTTAAGTGGCTGCCTAAACTGTGCCAAGCCATGTACCACATTCCGTACCTTCGTCCATAAGAAGATACCACTACGGGTACTGCTAGGCCACGGGCTCTCTAAAACTACCTAAAAGTAAAATAAAGGTAAAAGTAATGGTTATTAGAAATATTTTATTTTTGATAATATACATACAAAAATAGTACATATATATAAATTATACCCCAAACCCTCTAAAAGAAGGTATTAAAATTATCATTTTTAAAAATATATTTTTATTGATTTCAGAGAGGAAGGGAGAGGGAGAGAGAGAGATAGAAACATGAACATTGAAAGGAAATCATTGAGAGGAATATGCAGGAAATTCTCCTGCATGTTCCCTACTGCAGATTGAGCCCACAACCCTAGCATGTGCCCTTGACAGGAATCGAACCTGGGACCCTTCAGTCCGCAGGACAACGCTCTATCCAATAAGCCAAACCAGCTAGGGCAAAAAATTATCAGTCTGATTAAGCAGCATACATTGCCCAATGTCAATCCTACTTACCTTATTATAATAACCATAAGTAATAGCATTTGGCTTTATGTTAGCAGTTTTCATTTCAAATAAGACTCTGACTGCTAAAACAGGATGGCCCCAAAGTCCACAAAGCTGCATTACTACTCGATAGCACACCTAACAAAAAATAACATCAAAGCATTAGTAGTTAGCACAGTCCATCCATGATTTGCAGAGATTTTAAATGATTTACCCAATTCTTCTTCTCAAAGTTATTAAGCACTACTTTCTCAATTGTTGTGGTTTGAATGTCTTGGTAAATTATTTGTAAAACTCATTCATTAATGGAAGTACCAGGATTATTGTATGTTGCACTTAAGATCTATGTGCATGTGTGCCATTTGTTTCAGTAACTAAGTATGCACAAAGAAAATGACTATTATTATCCATAATTTTAAAAATTCATTTTTAAAATCAAGTATAATTAAAATAGCTCTCTCCTATACAATATTCTGTGCCAAAGGAATTAAAGACAATATTCTCTAGGATGCCAATATAATAAAAAGAATTCTGTAAAACCATATCTTTAAAAAGTATGTGAAAAAAGAAACACAAATATAATTAGCAAAGGATTTTCTTGGCATATGTGTTTAGCAAGGGGAGGTCGAATTTGATCAGAAGAGGACAGGACAACTGGGTATACCTAAAAGTTAGAATTTCACTATTAAAAGATGATAGTAGAGCCAAAACCGGTTTGGCTCAGTGGTAGAGCGTCGGTCTGCGGACTGAAAGGTCCCGGGTTCGATTCCGGTCAAGGGCATGTACCTTGGTTGCGGGCACATCCCCAGTAGGAGATGTGCAAGAGGCAGCTGGTCGATGTTTCTCTCTCATCGACGTTTCTAACTCTCTATCCCTCTCTCTTCCTCTCTGTAAAAAAATCAATAAAATATATTAGAAAAAAAAAGATGTTAGTAGAAAACATGAAGAATGTGGGTTCTGATGAAATATGGACCTAATATGAAATTAATGAGCATGCACATTAATTACTTGCTGGGAAGCTTATCTGTGTGTCAATTCATCTGTTTCAAATTTCTTTTCATTTATTTAATTTATTGTTTTTTTTTAAGATGAATAAGGCACAGTATCTTTTTACTTTACTTTTTAAAATATATTTTATTGATTTTTTACAGAGAGGAAGAGAGAGTTAGAAACATCAATTAGAGAGAATCATCTATGAGCTGCCTCTTGCACAACCCTACTGGGGATGTGCCCGCAACCAAGGTACATATGCCCTTGACCGGAATCAAACCTGGGATCTTTCAGTCCGCAGGCTAACACTCTATCCACTGAGCCAAATTGGCTGGGACCAAATTTCTTTCTTTTTAAAATGTAACTAATATATAAACTGCCTCACAGAGTTGTTGGCAATACCAAAGAAAATAATATACATGAAAATACTGTGAAAACTTTAATGTGTTAGTCTATGTATAATCAATAAACAGATAAAATCATCAAATATGCATTCTTAAGTATTAAACATTTCTTCTAGCAGTAGAGATGCAATTACTTCAGCATACTACAAATCTTTCGATATAACTTGTTAGTAGTTAAAAATAGAAGAAATCAACCTTGAAATTTTAAACCTCCTATCATGGTGTTTATTGTTGAAATAGAAAAAATTGCCGAAACTGGTTTGGCTCAGTGGATAGAGCGTCAGCCTGCCGACTGAAATAGAAAAAATTTCTTAGCTTACTAGTTCCAATTGCGGCATGTTAGAAAATAAGAGAATGTCATTATTTGTACCAGAGACTAACGTAGAACTTAATACCTTTGAAAGAAAATAGTTTTCAGAAAATAGTTTTCTGACATGTCTTGTGAACTTATAACTTATCAAAGAAATAATCAAGAATTATGCTTTCAATTTAGAGTACAGTAACATAATCAATATTTGCAGAATACTTTAAAACACATAAAATATTGTATACTTTTCAAAAACATCTTGAAATGCTTCTTAGATATAAAAATTATCAGAATTTTTAAAAACACAAAGCACTGATTCTGATCAAGTACTGTAAAATTTTTTAGTTGTTATTCCACGTATTTAAGCATTCATTGCATTATTTTAAAAGCTTTTATAAATATACAAATAATACTTAGAGAAAAATGTGCTTCAGTATGCCCACAGCAATATCAAATCTTAATACTATAAATGCTGTATTAGTTTCAGATCTTTTTATTTTTAAGAAAAAATATATAGCTATTGCTCAAGCTATTATATGATGTGCTCTCTTCAATCCCATTTCTCTTCTATCCTTGTGCTCTCATTCTCTCTCTCCTTCCTCCCAGACATCTATTACTGATTTTTTTATTTCAACTTCAATTTAAATTCTAATCTGGTTCTATATATCATTTATAATTATCTTAACACTAAAAATAATTTTAAAGGGAAAAGAGAACAAAGAGAAAAACTAAATAAGTGACTCAATTTCTTCAACTATTATCACTATCTCTTACGATGCTTCTAAAGCTTAAGAGAGGTTGTGTGTGGCCCGGCTAGTATCGCCCAGTGGTTGTGCATCAACAACCTATGAACCAGGAGGTCATGGTTTGATTCCTGGTCAGAGTACACATCTGGGTTGGGGGCTCGATCCCCAATAGGGGGCATGCAGGAGGCAGCTGATCAATAATTCTCATTATTTTGTTTCCCTCCCTCCCTCCCTCCCTCCCTCCCTCCCTCCCTCCCTCCCTCCCTCCCTCCCTCCTTCCTTCTCCCTTCTTCTCTCTGAAATCAATTTTTTAATATATTTATTGATTTTTTTTTTTTTTTTATAAAGAGGAAGGGAGAGGGATAAAGAGCTAGAAACATCGATGAGAGAAAACATCGGATCAGCTGCCTCCTGGACACCTCCCACTGGGGATGTGCCCGTAACCAAAGTACATGCCCTTGACTGGAATCAAACCAACGCTCTATCCACTGAGCCAAACTGGTTTGGCTGAAATAAATTTTTTAAAAAAAATTTTTAAAGAGATTGTATGTAAAACATGTAACACATCATTCACTCAGTGCTTACTAGGAGCCAGGTACTATTCTAGGCACATTATGTACATTAACTGATTTAAGCATTAAACTAAACTTATGAGGAAGGTACTATTATTACCAACACCAGTGGGCAATTTTGTCCTCCAGGGGACACTTGGCAATATCTGAGATATTTTTGATTGCCCTTATAGGAAGGGTTTGCTACTGGCATCTAGTGGGTATACTGGTAAACATCCAACCATGTGCAGGACAGGCCCAGACAAGCCCCCAGAATAAATAATTATGCAGGTCAAAATGTCATTAATGCCTTGCCACGTAGTTCAATTGGTTAGTGGCACCCTAACCAAGGATGCCAAGGTTGTAGATTTAATCCCAGGTCAGAACACACAAGAATCAATCATGAGAAATATAAATAAGTAGAATAACAACTTTCTCTAATAAATAAAATAAAAAAATTAAATGTCAGTAGTACCAAGACTGAGAAACTTGGAACTACATTTCAGTTACATAATCTGATTTCATAACATAAGTCCTAGTGGAAAGTCTACTCTCTATTTGCTTCCTAACAAAGTTATATCAAAAATAAAATGTAGCCAAAACCAGTTTGGCTCAGTGGATAGAGCGTCAGCCTGTGGACTGAAGGGTCCCAGGTTTGATTCCAGTCAAGGGCATGTACCTTGGTTGCGGCACATCCCCAGTAGAGGGTGTGCAAGAGGCAGCTGATAGATGATTCTCTCTCATCGATGTTTCTAACTCTCTATCCCTCTCTCTTCCTCTCTATAATCAATAAAATATATTAAAAAATAATAATAAAATAATAATAATAAATAAAATAAAATGTAATCAATATTATTTTCTATTTATCAAGGACAATCTGGTATAAATAAGAAGTCTCAGCTTCATTCCAAAGCAGTAATTTTTAAAGTAATTATATTTTAAAATAAATAAGTAGTATCCCTATGAAACAAAGTAAATGTTTTGCCTTTATTGCTTATAATGAAAATATTTGAGGATACTTTAAAGCAACTGAGAAATAACTTTTCTTAAAAATGTAAAAATAAAATTTAACTTAGTAACATTCTCAATTTGTTATACTTGCCTCATCTAGGGGATCCACGTCTGTTTTCCTCATCTTAATAAGTACATCATATGCCTGCTGAAGTGCTCTGACCTTAGGATGAGAAACTCTAACATAGGCTGGGAGACAAATAAACCACAAACTGAAACAATGACTGAAGAGACACTTGGCCCATTGTGGTGGATTTGTGTAACATCTCTTCGCCAACTTATGAGCTGTTTTTATCTCCTAGAAAAAGAATAAAACATTATGGTATTTACTAAAATTCATTACAGTGGGGGAAGTGAAAAGGAAAAGGGAAAAAAGAATATAATGTCAAATTTTACTCTAAAATCAAGCTTTTCATACTTTTACTTTTGTGACTGGCTTCCTACTTAGTGCCACATGGCCTTTCAACATTCACCTACAGAAGCACTTATATTGTACTATAACTATTTGATGGTGAGTATAATACACTAGAAATTCCTTAAAAGCAGAGAAGATTCATATTTTTATAATATGATGAAAATATAATAATTAATTAGGTGCCCTTCACATAGAAGGCACTCATGTTTGATGGATGAAAGGGATTTAACCATTAATAGCTTACAAGTTCTTCAATGTCATTTTTGAAAAGTTAGTCTTCTCACTCTTCTCCCTACTAAAAAGTTAAAATGCCCTAGACCGGTGGTCGGCAAACTGCGGCTAAGAGAGCCATGCGGCTCTTTGGCCCCTTGAGTGTGTCTCTTCCACAAAATACCACAGCTTGGGCAAGTCTATTTTGAAGAAGTGGTGTCAGAAGTTTAAGTTTAAAAAATTTGGCTCTCAAAAGTAATTTCAATCGTTGTACTATTGATATTTGGCTGTGTTGGCTAATGAGTTTGCCGACCACTGCCCTAGACTATTTTCTGCCAAGATTTCCACTTTAACCTCCCTCACTACAGTCTGTTAATTCCTTCACTGAATGATTACATAAAAAGCTCTACTTCTTTGAAGTCAACATAGTCTGAGAAAGATCATAGACCTTACTACCTAACTGTTCAATAGTCATGTTTTCAACCTGATTATCATTCTGATTTGAGTGCAAGATAGAATAAGTATCAAAATCACCTGCTGAGCTTTAACTCTAGATGCTATAGAGTCTTCCAGATAAATCAAACTTCTATAGTGTGCCTTGCATTCAAGATCCCTCTACTGGGATATGTTCTAAAAAAAATATATCCTGGTGTATTAATTTTCTCATGATCTTATTCCTATGAGACTTAAAGATATATTTGAAAATACAGTTCCTTTCCTTTTCCAGCTAGCCTGGAAAAACAGAAAAACATGATGAAAATGAGATTTAAAGGTTTAGTAACAAAACAAACAAACAAACAAACAAAAAACTTAGTAACAAAATTTTCCCATTTTAGAAACTTGCCTTTAGTAAGCTGGTAGGCAGCTTACTAAAAAAAATTCCCTTCAGACAACATTGAGAGAAATGTATTCTATATGAAGTTAAGGAACACCTCAGGTTAATCTCAGATTTGAGGGATTATATAAGAATTGGTAAAACCCAAACTAAGAATTTCATTTTGAAATTTCCCATGTTTATAAGGCTCCCAAAATGTCAGTATATGTATAAAAGATGTTTAATTTTAATTCATACCTAACTATAGCTTAAATCAGATATGGTATTAAAGCAAGATATTCTAAGTTAACTCACTCACACTCCCTTTTGAATGTAGTAGTCAGTATAAAGTACATTTACATTAACCTTGAGAGAAACACAAATCAAAATCATGCCACTTCACACAAAATAGGATGCTATAATAAAAAAGACAGATAATAATAAGAACTGACAAGGATGTAGTGAATTTGGTACTCTCATACACTGCTGGTGGAAATGGAAATTGGTGTAGCCATTGTGGAAAACAGTCTGACAGTTCCTCCCAAAAGTTCAAGAGTTGCCATATGACACAGCAATTCTATCAGGTCTAGTAATACTTAATGTCGTTTTCAAATATTCGTTTAAAATCTTGCTTGGCGTTGACTTGTATTGACATAACCTTCAAACACATGGTATCTACAGAACGTGTGAAGTGCAATTAACAAGTTTTGCTTGAAAAAGTTTGTGTTTGGTTTGGTTTTTGTTGCAAAACTAGGGCTAAGAAGATGGCGGATGAAGAGCATATTCGGCACTGCATGCTTTACGAGTTCCAATTAGGAAGAAAAGCAAGTGAGGCTTCAAAAAACATCTGTAGTGCTCTTGGTCAAGATGCAGTTAGCGCCAGAAAATGCCAGCGTTGGTTTGAGAAATTTCGCGAGGGAAATTTTTCGTTAGATGACAAGAGTGGTCGAGGCCGTGTGTCCAATTTTGATCAAGAAGCTCTTCAAGCTCTTTTGGTGCAAAATCCTCAAATTACCCAACAAGAGCTTGCGACAACTTGAAATTGTTCACAAAAAAACAATTTCCAATCAATTGCGTGCACTTGGCAAAGTCCAAAAGTTTGGAAAATGGGTTCCTCATGAGTTGACCGACAACAACCGTAATCAAAGAGTCACAATTTGCAGTTCGCTCCTCTCTCGTCAAAACCGTTTGCCGTTTTTAGAGCAAATTGTTACCGGAGATGAAAAATGGGTGCTGTATGTTAATTTGAAAAGGCGGCCTCAATGGTTGGACAAAAATGAGGCTCCGCAGCCCACGCCAAAACCTGACTTGCATGCGAAAAAAGTGATGTTGTGTGTTTGGTGGAATTTTAAAAGAATTCTTCATTATGAACTTTTACCATCTAACCAAACCATTACAAGTGCAGTGTATAGTGCCCAATTGGAAAGGTTAGCCCAAGCTTTAAGAGAAAAAGAACCCGCGCTGATTAATCGGAAGGGCGTAATTCTTCACCACGATAACGCACGACCGCATACTGCAAGAATCACTGCTGAAAAACTGCGCCAGTTGGAATGGGAAGTTCTCCCTCAACCTGCATATTCTCCTGATATTTCCCCTTCCGATTACCATTTGTTTCGTTCTTTGCAAAACTTTCTTCTTGGAAAAAAATTTAATAATGAAGAATGCCTCAAAAATGCATTGACCGAATTTTTTGCATCAAAATCACAAGAATTTTACAACAGAGGGATTAAAATGCTTCCTGAGCGTTGGGCACAAGTAGTAGAAAACAACAGCAACTATATTGTTGATTAAATTTTGTTGTATTGTTTAAATAAATTTGATTTTAAAAAGTATTAGAAAACGACATTAATTATTACTAGACCTAATACTTCTAGGCATACACCCAAGAGAAGTGAAAACACACAAATATTCATACCAGCACTATTCATAATAGGCCAAAAAGTAGGAACCACTCACATGTCCATGAATGGATAAATAAAATGTGGTATATATCTATAATATTATTCAGCAATACAAATAAATGAAGTATTGATACATGATGCAACAACATGGATGAACCTTAAAAACATTAGAAGTGAAAGAAGCCAATCGCAAAAGGCTACATGTTATACAATTCCATTTATATCAAATGCCCAGCATAGACAAAACTATAGAGACAAAAAATAGATTAGTGGTTGCCTGGTGCTGTGGGGGGAAAACCTGGAAGTTAACAACTAAATGGTGCAAGATTTCTTTTAGGGGTGACAAAAATGTTCTAAAACTGACTGTGGTGTGGTTGCACAACCCTGTGAATATACTAAAAGCCACTGAGTATATTTTAAATGGGTGAATTGTATGGTATGTGAATTATCCTAATATATATAAAAACCCTGAATCGTAACGACCAGTAACGACCAGAGGCTGACCAACTGGAAGTTAGTGCTGGCCCCGCCCTTAAGCAAGCAGTAAGGGGCAATCAGGCAGGCAGGCAGAGGGGTTAGGGGTGATCAGGTAGGCAGGCCAGCAGTTAGGGGCGATAAGGTAGGCAGACAGCCCTTCACCAGGCTGGCCCCACCCCCAAGCAAGTGGTTAGGGGCAATCAGGCAGGCAGAGTGGTTAGAGGTGATCAGGTAGGCAGGCCAGCAGTTAGGGTGATCAGGTAGGCAGCCCTGCAGTTAGGGGTGATCAAGTAGGCAGGCCAGCAGTTAGGGGTGATCAGGTAGGCAGACCAGTAGTTAGGGGTGATCAGGTAGGCAAGCAAGCAGTTAGGGGAGATTAGGTAGGCAGACAGCCCCTCACTAGGCTGGCTCTGCCCCCAAGCAAGTGGTTAGGGGCAATTAGGCAGGGAGGCAGAGTGATTAGGGGTGATCAAGTAGGCAGACTAGCAGTTAGGGTGATCAGGTAGGCAGCCCAGCTGTTAGGGGTGATCAAGTACGCAGGCCAGCAGTTAGGGGTGATCAGGTAGGCAAGCAAGCAGTTAGGGGAGATTAGGTAGGCAGACAGCCCCTCACTAGGCTGGCTCTGCCCCCAAGCAAGTGGTTAGGGGCAATTAGGCAGGGAGGCAGAGTGATTAGGGGTGATCAAGTAGGCAGACTAGCAGTTAGGGTGATCAGGTAGGCAGTCCAGCTGTTAGGGGTGATCAAGTACGCAGGCCAGCAGTTAGGGGTGATCAGGTAGGCAGACCAGTAGTTAGGGGTGATCAGGTAGGCAAGCAAGCAGTTAGGGGAGATTAGGTAGGCAGATAGCCCCTCACTAGGCTGGCTCTGCCCCCAAGCAAGTGGTTAGGGGCAATTAGGCAGGCAGGCAGAGTGATTAGGGGTGATCAAGTAGGCAGACTAGCAGTTAGGGCCCGCTCCCCAGCAAAGTAAGAGGGAGGCCCAGGCCAGTCAAGCTATTATACCTAGCCTGTCACCTGCAAAGGGAGGCCACCGGTGGCAGGGGAGGAGGGGCAGCACTGCACAGATGGCAAGCAGTGGCAGCTGCAGGGGTGGGGCCAGCAGCCTACAGCCTGGAGAAGGAAAGCCCCGGTAGGCCCTGATCGCAGGCCAGGCCTAGGGACCTTACTGAAGGGGTCCCAGATTGTAAGTCGGTGCAGGCCAGGCTGAGGGGACCTCTCCCCCTAGTGAACTGGATTTTCATGCACGAGGCCTCTAGTTCTATAATAAAACCCTAATATGCAAATCAACTTTATGGCAGAATGACCAGCCAAGCCTGCCTCCACAGCAGTGTTAAGAACCCCTTGGGGGATGTCCGCCTGCCTGGCCTAAGCTGGTGGGTCTCAGACTGCCAAAGGGTACAGGCTAGGCTAAGGGGGATCCCCTGCCCTCAGCCATGCAGAAATGTCATACACTGGGCTTCTACTATATCCAAAAAGTTTTTTAAAAAGTGTATTTGGGCCGAAACCAGTTTGGCTCAGTGGATAGAGCGTCGGCCTGGGGACTGAAAGGTCCCAGGTTCGATTCCGGGCAAGGGCATGTACCTTGGTTGCGGGCACGTCCCCAGTAGGGGGTGTGCAAGAGGCAGCTGATCGATGATTCTCTCTCATCGATGTTTCTAACTCTCTATTCCTCTCTCTTTCTCTCTGTAAAAAAATCAATAATATATATATATATATTTTTTTTTTTTTTTTAAAGTGTATTTGGTTCCCAAGAATTCTTTTAAAGCATAAACATACTAATAACCATTCAAAAACTTCAGCCTCAAGATTGTAAGTAGGATTGTAAGAAATCTAGTTTAGTTCATTATCAACCGCAATGGGTATTCAAATGGTTACTGTGGGTGATAATTCTAAACTACCCGTATTTTCCGGCGTATAAGACGACCCCCTAATTTTACAGTTAAAACATAGGTTTAGGCCTATATTCGCTGTATAAGACTAACCCCCACTTCAAAGAAAAGACTTACTTTGCTGTCAAGATCTGCAGGTAATTTTTGTGCAATTTTGGTCTTTTGCCCCCTATTTTCGGTAAACTTTTTTCGTTTTAAAAGTCGTCTTATACACCGAAAAATATGGTATAAGCTGCATAACACATATACATACTTTACATTTTTAATTAGCATGTATTAGATAAAGAATATCTAACCTGTTTACTTCTCTTAGCCATGAGAGCTGGACTGTTTGTAATGCTATTCCCAGTAGGGTGTCTATTAAAACAAAGTTTCAATTCCTGTGGTCTGTCAAAAAGCTTAAGGTCCAGTCTTGGAAAGTATTTGTAACTAAAATGAAAAGCAAAATTAGAATTGCTGATTTAAAATACATTAACTCTTCATATTATTCCATGATTTAGGTTACTATTTCTAAACCTTATATAGTACCCAATATTATTCCCCAAAATCCTTATACAGAAAACATTTTTTTCTCCAAAAAATGAAAGATGACATAGTTATGAAATACATAGACCACCTATATAGAAACTTTGAATCCTCCCCACCCTATTTGTTTTTTTTCAACCAATCAATGGAAAAACCTGATATCTTATACTTGAAAGAGGAATTAATCCTTGCAACAGAACCCAGGTGTTCAATGGTAATTTATATTTAAAAATAATATTTAGTATAATTTATAATTTTGGTTTTCTTCATAAAAGTACCTTGCATTGGTATCTAAAAGAAAAAATTCATAATATTTTCATTTTAGGTATATACAGTAATTTATCCAATTTTTTACTACTGGGCATTTTAGGTTATTTCTAAATTTTTGTAATTAATATCTTTGTATAGGTATCTTTGTGAATACTTTTGCTTAATTTCTTAGGATAATGCCTATCCTAATATCAGGGTTTGCTATGATCCATATTTATCAAGAGAATAAAAATTATTATAAATCATTACAAATTTATTTCCAGAAAGGCTATATTTGCATAGACTCTAACATACACTTTAACTGGTAGTATAGCTTATCTTCAATATGATAGATTAAAAGTGCCTTTACTCATCATTTTGGTTTGCATTTCTTTGAATACTAGAAAAGCTTAATATATTTTCATATTACTGTCTATTGGGATTTCTTCTCGCAAATTGCCTCCTTTGGCCAATTTTCTTCTGGGAAGTATTGCCTTTCTCTATCTTATTTGTCAATACCTGGAGTCCAAATGCATAGTGAATAAGCCAAAGTAAAATAGAATTCTATCGTTAATATGCAATCAAATGGTACTTAATTAAGCCACTCAATTCGTATGGTATATATTCTTCATTCTTAGATTATATATTAATTCCATATTTTTATGGCAGTTATTTTATATTTTCTTTACTCCTGATATTATTTTAAGAAAACAGCCTAAGAAAATAACTGTTTATTTACACAAAGATATAAACAGCAAAGAACTATAAACAATCCACAGGAGACTAGTGAAATAAATCACAATAAATGCATGTAATGTGGTCATTCAAAATAATATGGCACAAAAATATTTTTTGGCATGGAAACATGTTCAGGCCATTAAAGGCAAACACAAGTTACAAAGAATATGTACAAGATGAATCCATATTTGTTTTAAGTATAATAAGTGCAAATTTATGCACTAAAAGACAGGAAAGATATAATACAATTGTTAAAAGATTAAGTATAGGTGCTAAAATGATGTACTAGTTTTCTTTTTTGTTGTTTGTTTTTCTAAGTTTATTGTGCTTATAACAATTATAACAAGAACAATCAAATACATTTTAATTTCTCAAAAGATTCCATCCAAATCCTATTCTTTACATTTAAAAAATGAGTCCTGCCTCTCTACTTTTAGGTTTACTCTGACATCTTCCTAATGAGTAAGAATTACAGTCTTTATATTGACAACAAAACCCCGAAGGAAGGCAGAACCTCACAAAAGTAAATAAATTTTTTAAAGATTAAAATATGGTTGAATGTTTAGGTGACTAGTGATCAACATCTGGCTTATTTTCAAACAAGACTGTCCAAGTCTTAATTTACATTACCCACTGACATTATAAAATATTCATCTCCATTAATTCACTGAACTTTGAAAATGACCTTCACAAATGATTAATATATGTACCTACTAATAATCAGAAATAATAAAAATAAGTCATTAAATCTGTGCCCACAGAGCTCTTTTAAAGAATTCTTGCTACCTGTACTTTGGCGACAGGTCCTTTGCATCATCAGGAGGTGGCTCTGGTGGCATTATAAATACAGTGTGCTCACTTTTTTGTGAATCATCTAGCTCTATCAATTTGGTATCATCTGTTGAATCAAAATCAATCTGAAAAATAATTATTTCCCAGTTAATTTATATTTAAGCAAGCTAATTCTGAAATTTCAAAAACTTAAGAAAAAAAATACCTTATCTGTTTTCTCTGTGCCTTTATCAGGAAACAACTAGAAAAAAAGAAAAAAATTCTTAATGAAAATGTCTGCTGTGAATTTAATAGAGATTATCTTAAATCTTATTTTTAAAAAGTATCCTTTTTTAAATACTGGACAAATAAAAACACTTCACAATTTTGGGGACTCTATACCATATTAGGCTAAAGTATAATAGTTCTTTTGAGGCTATTAAAAAATAATTTATTTTTAGTAGTTTTTTCATAAATCCTTCACTAGCAAAAGACGACAAATCACAAGGGGAATCTGGCTTCTCAAATAAAAAATTAATTATTATTAAATTCCTGCATTAGTGATTGACATTATCTAAGCATCCCTCTAACTGGATGATACTGGACTATCACTTTTATAAGTAAACTAAAATGTTAAATAATTTTAATTGTAACCCTGAAGTTTTAGATTACACTGATAGAAAGGGAGAAAGTTAATCAAGTTTTCTAAGGCATATGAATCATTAGGCGTCCATAAAAAACACAATGTCATAATAGTCTACCTTTTTTTTGGATATAATCTTAAATTTTATATAATATATAGTTTGTATAATTAATCAACCCCAAGAGTCACATAGCAAAAATAAGAATTCTATTAAAGATGAAAAAATAAATATATCTAAGTCAGTCATCAATTGTGAAGAATCAATTTGAATTTCCTTAGGATAGGTGAATAAAGCTTAAAAACTTAACATATCTCCAAATAACCTCCATTAGGACAAAAGAAATAGATTAGCAAAAGTATCTGGAAAGACATTAAAACAAAAGAATACAGGACTCCATTTATTCCTAAAAAAGTAAATTTTGTAAATTAATTACTAAAATTCATATAAATTAAATATTTAAGTTTTAATAGGGTCAATTTAGTACTTCATAGTTACAAAGTGAGAATCAAAGAGAAAAATTTGCTATGTATGGTAGAAATTAGACACAGGAAAATTACTTATACTAAGCCCAGAGTCAGACACTTGCATGTACACGTAAGTGCACGTACCCACAGACGCACGCACACACACACACCGCCTATGTTGTCTCCTTCAGATCATTTGGGCTAATAATAATGATGATGATGATTATACATACAGCTAGCCAAACTCTTAAAATTTTTCCTTAACATTGCTATATAGGACAAACTTTTACCTTTTCTACGCAGTCATCAAAAAATGCCAATCCAGTATCTTTATCACTTACAAAACTACATTCTTCAATGAAACGAATAAAAATCTGTGTTTTGCATAAAAAGGTGTAGAATTTTGTATAGGCACGATCTCGACTTTTTAAAAATCCTGAAACAAAATTACAATTAAATTCAAATTTTAAAGTGGAACTAGATGTTATATTAAACATTATTTTAAACTTATACATATTAATATAATAGTAATATATTTTATATATAGTAACCGTAGCTCCTTCTGCATGATTCAACTACAAAAATGCTTAACTTATACCACTAACCTTTTCACTGAAATCTGAATCTCTTATAAGAAAGCTCTAGTCCTACAGCTGTCAAGTAGAAATTTCTGATATTCTACATATTCTCAAACAAGTAGTGTCTATGTCATTCTTCTGCAATGCCACCAGACAATTATTTTTGTATTGTCTTGTAAAAGTTTCTGCTCATTGAAGATTCAAGCATCTGGTATTCTACCCTTTCCCCTATCAATTCTAGTCATCTACTGTCTTAGGAACACTCTCCTTCATTCACTGAAGACCAGGGCACCTATTTCAAAGCCTTCTCCTCTCCAATTCCTATCATCATCATTCTTCAACACCCACTGAGCACAAACAATCGAACCCTGTCAATGATCTGTGTGATGTATTCCATCTCTAACACCAACTTGTACACAAAGTCACACACATACTCTGGCCTCTTCTTGCTATCATTAAAAATAGCTCTGCCTAGAAGTGGGATTACTGGGAAAACAGAAACATCCATCAGAAAGTATATATGCACTCCTATGTTGATAGCACAATTTACAATAGCTAAGATTTGGAAACAGCCTAAGTGCCCATCAGCAGATGAGTGGATTAGAAAACTGTGGTACATCTACACAATGGAATACTACGCTGCTGTAAAAAAAAAAGAATCCTTACCATTTGCAACAGTATGGATAGAACTGGGGAGCATTATGCTAAGTGAAATAAGCCAGTAAGAGAAAAGATAAATATCACACAATCTCACTCATATGTGGAATACAATGAGCAACATAAACTGATGAACAAAAATAGAACCAGAGGCATAGAAGCATCGAACAGACTGTCCAACCTATGAGGGAAGGTGGGGTAAGGGTGTAAGAGATCAACCAAGAGATTTGTGTGGATGCATATGAGCATAACCAATGGACAGATTGAGAGGGTGAGGGAGGGAGCTGGGGAGAGTCAATGGGGAAAAAGGAAGACTTATGTTAATACTTTAAACAATAAAGAATTTATATTAAAAAACAAAAAAGATCTGCCTCCCAAATCTTTAATTTGCATGTTATTCTTTGACCATTACCTCTATCTGTCTTGGTTTGCTTGCTTACTTAAGTACTCTTACAAAGGCTCTTTTTTTTGGGGGGGGAGGGGGGGCCTTAGGGGGTGAAAGAAGGTAGAAGGTAAACTCATTGAAATCTACAATCTCTTTACCCTTTTTCCATTCTATCTACTCCCTCCCTGTCTTCACTTCTCTATCTATCCAATACTGATTCCATTTCCATGTCCATCATTTCAATTACTTTCTTGTCAACACTCTCAATTCTTATGTCCTTTGTCTTTTTTGGCAGATCCATCTAGTATATAACCTAGCCCTGGAGGAATATATTTGTCTGCTTTCTCTGGATCTGCACCAGTGTGGCTGAGCCCAAGTTAAAAAAAAAAAAAAAAAGGGGGGGGGGTGGGGGGGTTTCTACAATTAGATGGATCAGAATCACTTATATAATACTATTCCTTTGTCCCTGATCAGCAACCCTACTACATTTTTGGAATCAACATAATCTCCCTTTACCCATTATTTCACAGTTATTTGCAATTTTTAAATGTTCTCCCTCCATGTTTTCTCCCCTATTCCCTAAAGACCATACCTTATATTGCCAAAAAAAATGAAAATCATTAAGTGAGACCTTCATTATCTCACTATAAAATATATTACTTTTGCTGCAATTATCATTCATTTCTTACTTTTTTTTTTTTTTACAATGGATCTATCCAGTACTCCTATCTAAGGCCAAGCCTACCACATCAGCCTGGGATGCTAGCCCCTGCAGTATTCTCAGAAAGTCTTCCTCTCTCTACTAGCTCTTATCAGCATACTCAAGTCTCTCTCATTGAAAACAAACAAACAAAAAAATCCTTTCCTTAACAAATAATCAAATCCTCCCATTTTTGCTATTTTCATGCTCAATAAAGACAACCAGCTGAAACCGGTTTGGCTCAATGGATAGAGCGTAGGCTTGGGGACTGAAGGGTCCCGGGTTCGATTCCAGTCAAGGGCATGTACCTTGGTTGCTGGCATATCCCCAGTGGAGAGTGTGCAAGAGGCAGCTGATCGATGACTCTCTCTCATCGATGTTTCTAACTCTATCTCTCTCCCTTTCTCTGTTAAAAACCAATAAAATATATATATTAAAAAAAAAAAAAGACAACCAATGACACACCAAGGAGAGAGACTTCAGAGGAAACCAATCCTGCCGACAGATTGATTTTTGACCTTCTAGCTAGCTTCTACAATTGTGAGGAAATTTCTGTTGTTTAAGCCACCCAATCCATGGTACTGTTATGACAGACCTGACGAACTAAAACACATGCCTTGTGCTTTTGTTGTTGATGTTTCTTCCATTCCATTATTACCACTAACAATAAGATCTGTTATGATGAGTACTGAATATTGTACTTTTACTAGTTGCTCCACATACATTTTCTTAATCTTTACAACCATGCATAAACTAGGTGTTATTCCCATCTTATTAATGAGAAGATAGAACCCCAGAAAAGTTTCATAAATAGCAAGGAAGAAATTCTAATTCAGATTCAATTTTTAATGCCTATTGTTTTTAAAAATCCTTTCCTGTTCATTTCATTTATCTATGTTCTTCAAAGTCATGCTCTTCCTTCATAAATCTTCCAAAATATTCATTTGAAAAAATGTTTTTTCTTAATTTTTAGAGCTTCTCACTGAATTAACTGTATAAAATCTGTGTTCTCAAGTACTTGTTCTATCTTAAAAAATCATCTTAGATTGTTTCTTATTTAGTATCCCATAGAACGAGATTTAATTCTTCTTTATATCCCTACATAATAATTAGTTGAGCTTGCTAAGTAGTGGCTAAATATTTGAGAGAGAAATTATTCTGAAAGCTAAATGATAAAAGAGAAAAAGATTGCTAGGAAAAATAGATTATTTTTAAGTATCTGCTAGATAAAAGTATAGAAATTTAACATAATTTTTATATAAATACTAATGAAAATGTAAGGTTGCTACTACATATTATAAGAGTAGCTGAATAATAACAAGCTTTATAACTCCCTAAAGTAAAAAAGATGAGCATAGTGTTTCCCCCTGGAACAAAGATGTATTTATTTTTAAATTTTAAAACTGGTGGCTTTATTCCAAAAACTAATTGTTAGGAAATATTTTAAAGCAAAGACTATATAAATCAAAATATTATGCAAAACTGAAGAAACATCTAAAGCAAATTACATTTTACTAAAATAACTGATTAGGTAGTATTATAAATACAAGCATCATCTCTGGCTTTTTATAAAGTCCTACAGCTTCAGATTTCTCAGGGGAAAAAATGGGATAGAAGAAATTATATTCAGCCATAGTTGGTTTAGCTCCATGTATAGAGGAGGGTTGGCCTGAGAACTGAAGGGTCCCAAGTTCAATTCTGGTCAAGGGCACAGGCTTGGGTTGTGGGCTCGATCCCCACTAAGGGGCAGGCAGGAAGCAGCCAATGATTTTCTCATCATTGATGCTTCTTTCACTCCCTTTCTTTCCTCTTCGAAATCAATGAAAATATAATTATAAAAAAAGAAATTATATTCCTAGAATCAGACTACAAACGGAGGTATATTTTAATTTTAATTTCTAAAAGTTCAAAATTTTTAAAAAATTTCTTTAAATTTTTTAAAAATTCAGATAGCAAATATTTTTTGGTAGCAATACCAAATATGTATTTTTCTTTTCTATAAAAAGTAATTGTATTTTCAATGCCACTCACCCTGTCGGTCAAACAATGAATCAACGGCTGTGGCTTTTTTTGAAGGAGCCTCTGTTATTGGTTTGAGATATGATCTATATCCTTTTAAAATGGATGCCATAAAGCGCAAAAATGCTTCTTGAATTTCCATCTCAAGTTGAGTCATCTTTTTTTGCCAGGAGAAATCTGCTTCAATTGGAGTCATCTCAATTGCTGAACCTTCTTGAGTTTTTTGGTGAACTAGCAAATAAAACAAGAAAATGACATCTATAATAATAAAAGCATAATATGCAAATCGACCAAACAGCAGAATGACCATCCAGAAAACCTTCCGGATGAAGCCTGGGCGAGGGCCGAGGCAGCCGTGGCTGGGAGGAGATACTCTTGAACAATTTTCATGCATCAGGCCTCTAGTTAATATATAATGTTATATATATATATATATATATATATATATATATATATGATGACTGAACAATTAAGGAAACTATCAAAATAAAGCCTGTGACTTCCTGAAATTCCTCTCTCCATTAATGCGAAGACAACATTGGTCTGGGCTAACAGTGATGCTCAAGCAGACAGAGCACAAACAACACACTTAAAAAATCATGAAACACAATATTAATTTCTTGTTACTGGAATTTTGTTTTATAATGAAACTTCTTTAAGCAGAGCAAAATTATGTTTAAAGTAAGAAGAATTTTCATTAAAATATTCCTTTTTCCTCACATTTACCTGAGGATAACTGGGGATACAATTTCTTCAAGGTGCTAAGTAAATTTTTGCATGGCTTTTTGGGAAGCTGCTTCCAGTTCATGTTCTTCTTTTCATCAGATCTATTAAATAAAAATATAACTAATAAAATATCTCAACCTGCTTTTACTTAAAATTCTTATGTCAAATTAAAAAAGAATATAGAAAGGGTATTTTTACTGAAGTTATAATTTATACAGACAGTCTGAACAAGTGGTTTTCAAGGAGCTTCTCTTTTCATTTCAATTATCTTGAATCAAATTTGGTCATCTCATACTAACCCTCCAACATAGATTTTCAATACTAGAGTTATGAATACAACACTAAATTCTTGCTTCAACAGTATTTTAGAATTATTTTAAGTGTCAAACTTAATTGACTTGAGATTTTAAATTACCTATTAGAAGCAAATCTCAACAAATATTAGTGTGTCAGCGATATATAGAGCATGTTCTCACCACAATTCAACTGAGCACTGAAAAGAAAAAACTACTTTGGAAGTTCAAAAGAACACTTTTATTTTTTATTTTCTCTAATGATTTTTAGAGAAAGAGGGAGAGACAGAAACATCTATGCGAGAGAAACATCAACCAACTGCCTCCTGCACACCCCTTACTGGGAACATAGCCTGAAACCCTAGCATGTGCCATGGCTAGGAATCGAATCAGTGACCTCTTGGTTCCTGGGTCAATGCTCAACCACTGAACCACACTGGCTGGGCCAAAAAGAACACTTTTAAATAATGCATGAGTTAAATGAAATATTTTAATAGAAATAAGAAACATTTAAAACTCTATAAAGATGAAAGCACTATGTACAAAGCACAGGCTGCGCCTATTGCTGTACATCAGGCCAATATAATTTATGAACATCAATGCAAGCATCTTGAATTCTTAGAAAAGTTAATCCACTAGTATATTTAAAAAAAAAAAAAAAACAAGAGCAAGATGATGCTTATTATCAAGAATATAAGAATTGTTTACAACTATAAGATTTTATAATGTAATGTACCACACAGAGATTAAAGATTTTAATATTCATCTCAATAGTTGTATAAAAGTACTATAAAATTCAACACCTATTTATGATTTTTTTTTTAATTCTTAATCTAGAAGTAAAGAAAAACTCCTTAATTTATTATTATTTCCTAACTCTATTCTACGTTTTACCAAAACCCTAGAATAGAGCTAGGAAACTTTGGGGTCAGATAATAAATACTTCATGCTTTGAGGACCATCATGCCTATGTCATACTACTGAAATGTGCCACTGTAGCATGAAAGCAGCCTTGGATAATATAAGCTGTGTTCCACTAAAATTTTATTTGTAAATTCAGAATTTGGGCTAGATTGTCAATTCTTGCTTTAAAGCAATAGTCATACTTAATGAACTCTTAAATCTTTCCCTTTGAAATTAGAAACAAGACAAGATACTGGCTATGCCTACCTTCTACCATTCAACATCTCACTAGGATTTTTGCCAGAGAATTAAGACAAGAAGTTTAAAAATAAGAATTGTAGATAATGTAAATGCTTATAGTCAGAAAATTGAAGAGAATCTACAAACAAAGTTAAAAGAATTCAACTAAATTGCTGGGCAGCAAACCCACTATATAAAAATCAGTTTAACATTCCTATACCCAACAACTAACAAGCACAAATGTAATTTAAAATACCATTTATAGTAACAATAAAAACTGTAAGTTATTTAGGAATAGGTAAGTCTAACAAAAGATGTGCATTGTCTTTACTGAGAAAGATGCAAGTTTATTGCACAATTTCAAAATATTTATTAAGTAAAATGCCACATGCATAGATTGGAAAACTATATAAAAAGATGCCATTCATTCCCAAATTAATCTATAAATTTAATAGAATTTGAACCAAAATCACAACATAATTTTGTGTGGAACTTAACAAACTGATGTTAAAATTTAAATGGAAAAGAAAGTCAAAATATATCAAAACAATTGTAAAGAACAGGAGGAAAGGGACTTGCTATATCACATCATAACTCATTTTTTAAATCTATTTTTATTAATTTCAGAGAGGAAGGGAGGAGAGAGACATAGAAACACCAATGATGAGAGAGGATCATTGACAGGCTGCCTACTGCGCATGTGCATGATTGGGAATAGAATTGTCACCTCCTGCTTCATGGGTCAACGCTCAACCACTGATCCACACTGGCCGGGCTCACATCACAACTTTTTAAAACAATGTTAAGATATAATTCACATACCATACAATTCATCTTCCTGAACGGTATATTTAGATGGTTTTTAATACAGGCACAGTTGTGTAACCACCACCACAATCAATTTTAGAATATTTGCATCACCTCAAAAAGAAACCCTGCATCCCCTTAGTCACTAACCTTCGATTTCCCAATTCTCCCATCTTCACCAACCTATTTTCTATGTGTATAGATTTACTTGGATAGTTCATATAAAAGGAATCGTGATGTTTTCAAGGTTCATCCATGTTGTGCACAATTTAATTTTAAAGTGTCAATAAGATAATGATCCATGGACACAGACAGTAGGGGGGTGAGGGCATGTGCTGGAGGTGGGAGTAGCTGAGAAGAGGTCCATGGGGATAAAAGGAGACAAATGTAATACTTTAAACAATAAAAATAAATAAATAAATAAAATAAAGATAGTGTTATAGTAGCAGGAAACTAAAACAAAGGAACAGAATAATAAACATGAATGCTATATTCCATGCTAATATAGAAGGTGGTATGTAATAGTGTTGACACTGAAGACCAGTAGGGAAGAGATGAACTCACTAATCAATAAATAGTGCTATGTGACAATTGTTTGTCCATGTAAAAAATAAATAAATATAATGGTATCTCTATGTTATGTCATACACTAATACCAAGTTTAGCTGAATTAAAGACCTACAGAGAAAGGCAGAACCTGACCACTTTAAGAATATCCAGGATAGCCGAAACCAGTTTGGCTCAGTGGATAGAGTGTCGGCCTGCGGATTGAAGGGTCCCAGGTTCAATTCCGGTCAAGGGAATGTACCTTGGTTGCGGGCACATTCCCAGTTGGAGGTGTGCAGGAGGCAGCTGATCGATGTTTCTAACTCTCTATCCCTCTCTCTTCCTCTCTGTAAAAAATCAATAAAATGTATTTAAAAAAAAAAAAAAAGAAAGAAAAAAAAGAATATCCAGGATAGTATTTCATGACCTCGAGCAGAGGATTTCATATATAAGAACCAAAAACAGCAATCCATGAAAGAAAACAATAAATCTGATGGATTAAAATAAGCTTCTGTTCATCAAAAGAATATGATAAATAGAATGAAAAGACAAGTCAATGTGGGAGGAACTACTTGCACAAACCAAGAATTAATTCAAGATCCTACAACCAACTTACACAAATTGAAAGAAAAAGGCAAACAACCAAACAAGAAAATTTACCAAAAATGTGAAGTCCAATTAACAGGAGAGGAAAACCAAAGGGCAAAAGAAATATAAATGTACTATTTGCAAGTAATTAGGGAAATAAATGTGAATTAAAGCCACAGTGAGATTCCATTACCATCAAACTGGCAAAAAATTTTAATAGTGACCATAACAAGTATTGGCAAAAATATGAAATAAACAGAACTCTCATTTGCTGCTGAAGAGGCGGTAAACTTGGAAGATTAATGTGGCATTAACAAAGCCTACCAACCAACATTGGCTCTTTAAGGTATATGCTTCAGAGGAATTCTTGCCCATGAACTCAAAGAAATATGCACAATAATGATCATAGCAACCTTGTTCATAATTATAAAAATCTAGGTACAATCTAAATATCCATCAACACTGTAAACACTGAAATTGAAGTAGAACTACATATATCAACATAGATAAATCTCATAAAGAATGGCAAGTATAATAAATAGCAAATTCAAGATGATGCAAGATATGTATACAGGATCTCAGATTTATTGGTAATACTCTATTTTATTAATAATGTAAATAACTCTCATGTATCTGCATGGTGTATACATGAGAGTTATTTACATTATCCTGTATAATTTTGGGATATCTGGGATATCTCATAATTTTTTAAGTACAATTAAGCAAAAAATTTAAAGTTATTTTAAAAAACAATGTTTTAATCAATAAACATTTTCGAAGTTATTTAAAAATGGCCAAAATAAGAATCTCCATATTATTTTATTCATAATAACAAATAAAATAAGGTAAACATCTGAGTTACAACTTCATAAATAATCATTTCCAAAAGCACCACAATGTATACAATCCTTGAAATAACTATTTTTCAGGGATAGCAGCTAAAAAACAACAAAATGTTGCTAAAAGAAATATTTAGTGCATACAAGTAGTTTACTTCTAAGCTATAAGTAAATCTATATATACCTAGTAAAAAGCCACCACAATTATAGTTTCAATCTACAATGGTAGAACCATTTCAAAATTATTTTTAAAGTTACAACAAAATACCCCATTCGGTTTGGCTCAGTGGACAGAGCATCAGCCTTCAGATCATAGGGTGCCGGGTTCACTTCCAGTAAAGGGCACATGCCTTGGTTGCAGGTTCCTCCCCGGCCCAGGCCCTGGTCAGGGCAAGTGCAGGAGGCAACCAATCAAGATGTTTCTCTCACATTGTTTCTCTCTTGTCTTTCCCTCTCTCTAAAAATCAATAGAAAAATATCGAGTGATGATTGAAAAAAAAAGGAAAGTTATAACAAATCTTTTCTTCTTTCCTTAAGTTATTCCTTTGGTTCACTTTGGGATGTTTTTCCAAACAATTCTATTGCTGTGACCACTGAAGTCTCACCAAAGTTCTTACTCTTTTCATTTTCTTTTAATCTCAAACAGTATAGAATAAGTCCTCCAAGATCTACAAGTTGGCACCAACATGAAGAAATTTTCCATACTTACTACATTTCCCATTAAGGATTAGGGGAGTGTGGAGCAGTTTGCTTTTAAGCATTTATCAGAGCTGCTTCCTTTAATGTGGTTTACAACTCTCTGAACTCCTTGTTATACCATTACTGTATATATTTATTACCTTCAGTAAACACAAACTATGACTAATTTTTTTTTTTAAATCCTCACCCAATGATATGTTGTTTCTTTATTGACTTTAGAGAAAAGGAAAGGGGAGAGAAAGAAACATAAGGAGAGAAAAAGATTCATTGGTTGCCTCCCATATGTGCCCCCACCTGATGCTCCCCTTCTGGGGATGGAACCTGCAACCTACATATATGCCCTGACTGAGAATCAAATCCATAATGGTTTGGTGTTTAGGATGATGCTATAACCAAGTCACCCAGTCAGGGAAAACTATCACTAATTTTTAATATTAATTTTCTGCAATAAAAATGCATCCTTACAGCCTGGCCTGTGTGGATCAGTGATTGAGGGTCAATCCATGAACTAAGAAGTCATTGCTTAATTCCCGGCCAGGGAACATGCCAAGGTTGTAGGCTGGATCTCCAGTAAGGGGCCTGAAGGAGGCAGCCAATTGATGTTTTTATCTCTATCCTTCTCCCTTCATTTATATATCTCTCTGTTCCTCTCACTCTGTATCTCTTTCCCTTACCCTGTCTCTAAAATCAATAACAACATACCTTTTAAAAATACATCCTTATAAAATTTAAATCTTGACAATTAAGGAAATGACATAATATTACACTATATTGTAACTAAACTCAAACAGGTAAACCCATTTTTTAAAAGCTACACATGGATTTTGAAATTAAACCTAAACAGTATATCAACTCTTCAGCTCTGAAAGCAGTGTTTAACCTTTTTTTAAAAAAAAAAAAATCCTTTTTCTCTTTATATTTATTGCCTGCAATTAACATTACTATGCAAATATAAACTACTATAATGTAGAGATGTTCTTTTCAAAACCATAGAGCTTTCCAGGATTCTGATACTCTGCTTTGGTTGTGACTCACTAATGAAGAGTTTTTTAAAATATATATTTTTATTGATTTCAGAGAGGAAGTTAGGGGAAGAGAGAGATAGAAACATCAATGATGAGAAGGAATTACTGATTGGCTGCCTCCTGTATGTTGGATTGAACCCACAACCCAGGCATGTGCCCTTGACCGGAATGGAACCTGGGACCCTTCGGTCTGCAGCCCAACACTCTATCCACTGAGCCAAATTGACTAGGGCTAATGAAGACTTAACAACTTTTAAAAATAGCATATTTCTAGATGCTTTCAATGAGCTATATCTGAATATGAGAAAAAATAGAAACGGGAGATAGCATAAAAAGAATCAACTTACATATATAACATGTTTGTATCCAAGTCAATGCAAACAACATCTTGTGGTGGCTCATGCAGATCAAAATACCTTGAGTCAACTCCAACTATAAATGGTACAGGTGCATTAAGCACTGCCGCCAGTGAGAGAGGACAAAGGGGAATATATGGGCATTGCCACTGAAATGGAAAGATCATCTGGGGAAAAAGTTTTAAAAATTAGCCAAATTTGAAATTTGCAATAAATTATGTAATTAACCAATATTAATGAAAGGGACCACTAAGAAGCAGTTAAGTCTAGTTTCTTTTACCTTACATATCATTTCAAAACCTAAATGACTATAAAATATTATTAAGCAATACTATGAACCAATGTAATTAAAACCTTGAAGCATGACAATAATCATAAACACAATAAAAATACTGACAGCTCTTTGGATGTTAGTCCTTCTAATGTCTATATAAAACCCACACTCAGTTTTACAGAAAAAGTCAAAGTATAGAATTGCCTAAAAAAATTATAAAACAAACTCATGATCTTTAAATCTCAATGCATTTCATCTCAAGATAACCTTTGACTAAAATCCAACTAAAAGCACCAAGGAATAAAAAAAATTAAAATGATTCCCCTGGGAATGGTAATATTCAATTGAAAATTTCAACAAAAAAATTCCTAAACACTCAAATAGCATAAAATTATCTAAATTCAGCAAAGCTTGACATCATAAAAATAAAGATGAAGAGATTAGCTAAAGAACATATATGCATGGTCCATGGACACAGACAGACAACTGTGGTGATGGCCAGAGTGGGGGATGGGACAAGGGCTGGGTAGAAGGGACTAAAGAGGGGAGAATGGAAGACATCTGTAACACTGTCAACAATAAGTAAGTAAATAAAATAAAACATACTTTAAGAATCTTTACCAGGTTTGCTTTACAAAGCTCTACCTTAATTGTATCACATATGCTTATGTGTATTTTTAAAAGACAAGGTTAACTAAAAATTCAGATCAAAATTTTAATGATCAGCTAATATTAAAATTTTAATCATTGATAACATTTTTCCTCTACTATAAAAATTCTTGTTGTCTTTCTAGGTCTAGTTCAATTCCTATCTTATCCACCATCCCTCACTCCAAAGAAATGCTCTTAGCATTTAATATCTCTGCCAGTTATTCCAGGTGGTTATTAAAAATGGAATTTTATCTTCATTTATTTACTCACCAAATATCTTGAGTACTTAATAAGTGCCAAGCACTGTTCTAAATAATGGAGCATAACAGTGAATAAAAATCCCTGCCCTCATGAGGTATAGAGTTTAGCATAAGAGTTAGCAAACTTTTTCTATAAAAGATAGGAAATGTAGAACTAGTGAGCCACATTGTTTGTCACAATACTTAACTGTCTTCATACGTGAAAGCAGTCATGGGTAATATGTAAACAAATGGCCTATGTCCCAGTAAAATTTTACAAAAACAGGTGGCAGGCAGGATCTGATTCCTGGACCATAGCTTGCCAACTCCTGATCTAGCAGGAAGAGACAGAAAATAAACAGAAGACATAATAAATGAAATATAGACCATGTCAGGATTGCTAAGCACTATAGAAAAGTGAAAAAGTCAAGTCAAGAGGATTATAGTTGAGAGAAAAAAAGAAAGAAAACAAGTTGTTTTATTAAATAGGGAAAACAAGGTAAGCTTCCTTAAGAAAGTGACAAGTGAACAGAAAACTGAAAAACGTGAAAGAGGGATTTAGCCACAGGGATATATATCTAGAAGAGGGCTTCAAAGAGAAAGAACAGCTTTAAGGCTGTAAGGTATGGGGCATGCCGAATATGCTTCAGGGGTAGGAAGGAGTCCAGTGTGGCTGGAACAGAGTAATCAAGGGGAAGAGTATTAGAAAAGGAGATCAGAGAACAGAGAGTCAGCCACTAGCACAGAAAACTTATAAGGATTTCAGGTTTCCTTCAGTGAAAGCTGACTGTCTTCAGTTCACCTGCAACTATTTAAGAAAATTTTGGTATAAAGCTATCTGACAGCAAAATATGACACCCTTGTCTTCACCTTTGACTTATTCAGTGCAACCTTAAATAGGGTCACTGTTACAAAAATACTCATTTGCTTCATTAATTTTTGCTACAGGGCTCCATTAATTATTTTATATTCTTTGATATTTAAATCATTCTCCATTTGAAGAATTTATCCTGTCAGCATTCTTTTCTATTTTCTCTTCTTCTAGTTGCTTAACTGCTAAGTCCTCACTTACCAGTGGTACTGCATGCAATTCAGGGAGTTCTCCAACATTAGTGACGTAAACTCCATGCAATCTTGCATTTTTCATAAAATTTCTAATTTTATGTTGCAACTTTTCCACCTGTCCTTGAACTATACTGCTGAAATCAATCAAGAGACTGGGCCACAAAGATTTTGACAAAGGGGCATGGATGTTTTACAGAAAGAAATATTTGAGTGAGAACTTGCTAAAATTGGTCAGTTCATTAATAAATATTTTCATGTTATAATGACTTTTACTTTCACATGCAATTGTGGAAACTTGAACATTAATATGTATATAATGAAGTTATTTGCTTCCCATAAATCGTCGCACATGTTAGCATTGTTTTTAGTCCTCAACGCATTTCTCAGACCAGTTTAAGATCTTGGAAACATATTCCATTTGTTGATTTAACAAGTATTAATTCAGTGCTTACTCTATGCTACCAAGCATTTACACATTAACCTATTTCAAAATCACTTAGCATTTTCTATATGTTAATGGCTCATAAAGATTAAAAGTTAAAATTGGAAGAAAGTTGAACAACATAAGCCAATGAACAAAAATATATCCAGAGACATATTATAGAAACATCGAACAGACCATCAAACCTCAGAGAGAAGGCTGGAGGGGGTGAAGGATGGGGGGCACACACACGTTAAAAGACCAACCAAAAGGACTTACTTATATGCATGCATATAAGCATAACCAATGTGCACAGACACTAGGGGAGTGAGGGCATGTGTTGGGGTGCTGAGAGTGGCCAGGGAGAGGTCAATGGGGGGAAAAAGAGACATATGTAATTCTTTAAACAATAAAGAATTTTTCTTAAAAATTGGGAGAAGGTAAATGTGTAATTTATTTCCATTATTAGATCAGCTAAAATTGACCAGAGCCTCTCATTTAATATAGTTTCATTCACAATTTTTATTATTATGTAATCACATAGATTCTCTGAAAAACTCTAAAATATAAGCAATTAGAATTTGAAAGTTTCTCTCAAATAGAGAAAATTTCTCTTTGCCAAACTATTGTTTTTAAGTTAAACTTATACTGGTAATTCCAAAGTTATTTTTGTTAAAGAAAATTTATCTTCAGAGTAAAAATTCTGTCAATAATTCTGTGCTAAAAGGAAAAATACTATACTTACAGCTACAACAGCTTCAGCTACTCCAGTTAACACAGCTGGCCTCAGCGAATGCAGCAGAATCTTACTCTCAAGTAAAACAAAGAGCAGCAATGTTGCACAATTCTCAGGACCCAGATTCATTAACAAGGTGCTAAAGTTGGCTCCACTAGAAAAAGAGATTAAAAGGGATGAATGAACTATTGTGCTAAAATATGTTAAGATATGCTCATTAAATTATTTCCTATATATTAATAGAGCTAGAATCTAGTATTAACTTCAAGTTCTGATTTAGTTATCACTGAAAAGTAGCAAATCTAATGAAATAGTTTAACAGAATGATTCAAATTTATCCCTTGGTAACTAAGAGGTATTTACCAGGAAATATATTCCTGAAGATGAACCATATGAACAGACTCAAAAGAATAGAGATAGGAGTTTGGGGTTGGGAGGAAAGAATATATATGGACTTGTCAGATTCAAGAAATTGAAATAAATCTACTGTGACTAAAGCATAGTATGGGAGAGGATGAAAATAGCAAAGAAGAGATAATGCCAAAATAAAAATAACACAATTATGTTTGGATTCACTAAAGAATACAATGGCTGCAGTATGAATAAAGAACTAAATGGGGGAGGGGGAGGACACACACACAACACACAAAGACAATCAATTAATAGGTACTTAAGTGGTCCAGGTGAAAGATCATGCTTGCCTAGACTACCCTGTTTCCCCGAAAATAAGACAGTTTCTTATATTAATTTTTTCTCCCAAATGAAGATAATCTACCCTGTTTCCCCAAAAATAAGACAGTGTCTTATATTAATTTTTTCTCCCAAAGTTGCAGTAGGTCTTATTTTCAGGGGATGTCTTATTTTAGGGGAAACGCGGTAGTAGATTTAAGACATTTTAGGAGGTTACAATCAGTTCACCTTGAACATGAAGTTATGAACTGAATATGGGGAGGGGAGATGAGAAGAAAAGGAAGGTATTCCTTACATCTAATCTTGCAACTCTCTTAAGTATTTTATATTTTAAATGGCCCCACCATTCATCAAGCTATCAAAGTTAGAAACATTAAAGCTATCCTTACATAGTTTGCAAAAATAGCACTTTCTTATCCTAACCCTTAAAATGTTTTAAAGCATTCTACTCCAAATAAATGAATGTTATTTTAGATAGCATTATTTACCTTAATGGTAAAGGTGTAGAAACTGGCTGCGATAATATTAGCGCATCATGGACTGACAGCTTAAAAAAAAAAAAAAAAAAAAAGAAGATAAATTAACCTAGCCAATTTTGAAACCTAAACATTTAGATCATGGATAACATGGAAAACACTTTCCTGTGCAGACTAACACAACTGGAGGGCAGTAGTGGGCTACTGGCACACAGATTCATGTGCAGGGCTATACTTTCTATATCTTAGGGAAAAATTTCTAAATGTTTGTCTCTGTAGATCAGTGCTACTCAAAGTGCCAATTTGCAAACCATTATGGGTCTAGGAAAAGATAATATATAAATGGAGAGCAAGCCATTAAGAAATTCTTATAGCAGTCTGACACTGCCCACACATCCAATATCAAGACCAGTGAACTTATGTCTTTGGACAGGATATAGACCTGTTCATGCCTATACAGATCTCACATAGTAAGTTCCATATGTCACAAACTGTACACTTATGTAGGTCTGCCACAGATTGGAAATCTTAAAAAACCTAGTCCTTTCAGATAGTTTGAAGAGCACTATTATAGACTATTTCACTTTTACCTTCCAACCTTAACTCATTTCATATTTAATATCAGTCACTCCCATATTAAAAACATGTCCATAATTCTGGATTTTAAGTTATGAAAATCAACTACAAAAAGTCTATACGTGGAACCAATGTTGATAATGTCATGAATCAGGAATTAAAATTATTACAATTTTGTACACCCAAGATTCAAAAAAATAGTACAAAGGATCTTTAGTAAAGATATAAAATACCAGAAATTCAAGGACTTTATGAATGCATACTACCCCACCTCAAATCCAAAGAGTCACAGAACCCCCACTCTACAATGATGATAATGAATATATTCAGGGCTCCCATCAAATATACTCTGTTTTGATTACCTGTACAAGGATTCTCGGTCTTTGTGGTGAAGGAAAGGGGATATTTTGCATAAAATGTGAAATGTGCCTGGAAAAGAATTAGAAATAAAAGTCATAATTACTTTGTTAAAATGCTTCATAGATTTTTTTAAATCTTAAATATCATTATATATCTTCCCAAATATGACAAAGCCTCTTACCTAAAACTTACCCTAAATTTAGTGCAAATAAATGTACTCATTAAACTTTTGAAATGCAAAACGTACTTACTGATTTAAAGTCCACATTATCCTCTATTATTGCCAGAAAAATAAGAGTAATATGAATATAATTTTCATGAAAGAAGCAAATTTATATTGCCCTGATTATCAGTGCCAATATGAGAACCAATTAACCCTGATATGAAAAATTAAAACTAATATAGAATTTAATCCTAGTAATTAAATATTAAATATAAATGTAATATAATTACTATAACTTTAGGCAAATCACTTACCCTCTCTGTTTTTCCACTTAAAAATAATGGTTCTTACATTTCTCCAAAGTTTTAAGATCTTAGAGGCTGCTAAATGCCAAGTATTACTTCAACTGATAAAAAATTAATCACTACACAGATTTTATTTTCAAAAATTATTTATGAAAACTTAATTTTTTAAAAGATTGTTATATTATCACTCACATTAAATTTTAATTCAAACAATTTTAAGATAATATGAAGGTTGAAAGTTAAATCAAGAATTATGAACCATTAGATTGTCATTCCATGAGTACAATCTGAAAGTTGAAACCATATTTCTATACCAAGGTATGATAAGTTTATACACAGTACTTTACTCCCAACTTATCCACGAAACTATTGGTAATCTATCTGCTATAATGGAAAAATTTTCAAAATATAACAAAAATCTATGTCTACGCATATATATATGTATATATAATACATTTCCACCAAGCTCTTGACACCTCTTGGTTTATTAGTAGGATAAATTATTTACTATAATAAACAAAGGGCTATGTGCCACTAGAAGTCAGAAAAGACATAGTTTTCAAAAGACAGAGCTCACATATACCTTTCTTACAAAAGATATCCATGACAAAGGGAATTCTAAATCAAAGGGAAAATGTATAGAATTCCACCAAAGCTAAAACCAAAACCTCACTTTTAACATAACAAAATAAGCTTAGAGATGTTTTACAGTTAGATTTTAGAATGACCATTGATGTGACTGAGTGTGTATAAATGTGTATATCAACAGCTATTTTTCTCTTGGTTATTAGAAATGAAATAGGAAAAACACAGTACAATGTATGTAAGTTTCTTCCTCAGCTGAATTCTCAAAAGAAAATTTTGTCATCCTCACCCACCACTCCTCAATTTTAAATTCAGTCAATGACTCAAGTAAAAAGGGAACAAGTAAAAAGTAGGGTGATTGTGACTCCCCTTAATTTTGCTGCTTAAAGTCACGTAAAGAATGAAATAAATATATATCTACACACACACACACACACAGTTTTTCCAGCAGACATGTCTTTCATCATTATACGTACTTTTCAATGGGAAGAAGATGTGGTCCAGACACAGAAAGTTTGTAGATAAACATGAGAAATTTTCTAAAAGCTTCAAAAAAAGGCCAGTGTGAGAGTAAACAAATGCATTTGTTTGAATTGATGGATTTGGAGACCATTTTTCTCTCCACAGGTGTCAACAGACCTAGCTGCATAAGCTGTTTCTCTGTTAGAAGTTCCGAAGAGTAAGGCTCATAAAACTGGATCGCAGCTCCATATACCTATAGAGCAACAGAATTCCATTATAAGACTTCAGGGTTTTTAAAAATTAATTTCTCTTTTTCTCTTATTCCACAGAAATATTTGCTTAGAATGCATGACAGATAAATGAAAAGAAATATCTTGACATTGCTGATGGGAATATAAAATGGTGTGGCTGCTGCTGAAACACAGTTCGGCAGTGCCTCCAAAAGTTAAATAAGAAATAACCAAGAAAAAAAAAGAATAATCAGATGACACAGCAATTCCACTCTTAGTATACAAACATTCCCTGTTTTTTGAAAGTTCACATTATGCCACTTCCCTTTTATAAAAAAACGTATATTAGCACCTGTTTACGCTAACAGAATTAATACAAAGAGGATTTTCACTTTTATGAAAGTAGGCAAAAAGCAATAACAACATTCAGCATTTGTTTGGCCACCAGCAATATAGAAGCGTACAGTACGCACCCCAACAGTGAGAGTGGCATCACCAAGCTCCTTCCCGGGGAACCATACTCATTATCTCCACATCAAGCCCCATACTTTGAACTGTATCTGGGAGTATTTGTGCTTTGTTTAGACTTATTTTGTACTTCTCTTTGCAAGATGTGTCTAAGGCATCAGAAAAGCCTAAGAGAGCTTCTAAGGGTATTATGCTTAGCATAAAATGGCATGGTTAAGCATTTGATCATGAACTAAATACATCCTACGTGTGTTGAACTTGCCTAGTCCATTTGTACTATTTACACAAAGAATCTTGAAAGCTGCCAAAGTTACTATTGGTTCTGTTAGTAGTAAAGTGGTCTCCTTTAGTTGACATCCAGTAATGGATAAAATGGAAAGTCAATTATTTGATTGAATTGATGGGTATATAAAGCATGGTGCATATGTATCATGTCATTTCTGCTTTTACTATATGTTAATGTTACTTAGATTTTATTATGTTATTTGGTATAGTTTGGTAGGTTATTTTGGGGATTTGGGAATGCTCAAATTTTTTTCTATATAAATTGACGGTAATTGTTTCTTCACTTTACATCATTTTGGCTTGCAAAAGATTTCATATGAATGCTCTACTTTTGGAAAGTAGTGGAAACCTGTATACCCAAAAGAATTCAAAAGTGAAACTCAAACAGATATTTGTACACCAATGTTCATAGAGCAATATTCATTCACAACAGCCAAAACAACCCATATCTCCATCAATAGATGAAAGGATAAATAAAATATAGTATATACATGCAATAGAATGTTCTTCATCCTTAAAAATAAATAAAATTCTGATAGATACAGCAACATGTATGAACCCTGAAAACACTATGCTAAGTGAAATGAGCTGGACACAAAATATAGTAGTTTATTCTATGTATATGACTTACATAGAATAGACAAATTTATAGAGACAAAAAGTAGAATAGAGGTTACCAGGGACTTCCGGTGAGGTGAGGAAAGCTTGTTTAGGGTGATGAAAAAGTTCTCAAACCAGAAAATAATACTTATAAAAATCGTATGACTATTTAGTAATATATATCATATTAACCCTTCTCCTTTAAAAAAATGTATTTTTATTGATTGCAGAGACAAAGGGAGAGGGAGATTAAAATATCAATGATGAGAGAGAATCCTGCACGCCCCGCAAACGAGGTATGTGCCCTTGACAAAAAATGAACCAGGACCCTTGAGTCCACAGGTTGACCCTCTATCCACTGAGCCAAACTGGTTAGGGCAACCCTTGTCTTTATAGATACAACACTTAAAAAAATTATTTCAAAGTGATCTCAGAGGTTTTGTAACAAGCATCTCAATGAGGCTTTGTTGTTCTCTACTTGTCAAATTTGTTAACTCAAGTGTTTGAAGATCTTAAATTTTTCATTTTATTTACTGCTTTTAAATAAGAGAATCGATAAATGATTTTTAAGTTAAAAAGTTAGCTTAGTTGTAAGCAATAGTTAATATATTGCCTTCATTCAATGGGTATTTTACTATATTTCAGACACTATGCTTGATTTTAACCTTCATTATCTTTAATACAGAGGCTGCAAACTTGTAGAATGAGGCTGCCAATGTATTTTGTTTGAACCAAAAGTCAGCTTCAGTTATAATTTTCAATAAAATTGCCTACTGTATCAAATTTCCTAAGAAATTTTAAAATTTCTACATCTGTAGTTTTTTTCTAAATAATATTTATTCCTAATATCTTTTTTTATTTTAAATTATCATTCTATGTCATTATTACTGTTCAGCTTGGGCCTCCCTTTTCACTTTCTTACTGATATCTTTGAATAAATATTCTTAATTCCAGTGAGGTCTATTTATCTTTTCTCTTATGGCTAGTGTTTTCTGCATGCTTTTAAACTATCTTTGCTTACTCCCTCTATTTTAATATATTATTTTTCTTCGTATCCCTGTTGTTGAGAAATTAGCCAATCTAATAGTTGTTCTTTTGAAAGTAAATGTCTCTTCTTTCTGTTGATTTGGTTTTAATGCTCCCTATACAAATAGAGGTGGTTTTGTATTTTTACTTTTTTTCTACTGAAGTTCAGAGTGTATCTTGGGTCTAGACTCAATTGTTCATCAAGCCTGAAAAACTCTCAACCAACCATTAGCTCTTTACATGCTGCTTCTCCCTTTTCTGATCTCTCCCCTTTTAGATTTCATTAAATGTCTATTGGTTGTTCTGATTCTATCCTGTACATATTTAAGCTTCTTTTATGCTTTATGTTTTTCTGTATTTCATTTGAAGTGACATCTTCACTTCATTAATTCTCTTTTCATGTATGTCTTCTCTATTGTTTAAACTACTCATTAAATTTAATTTTAAGAACATATTTTTTATTCCTACACATTTAATTCTTTTCTAATCTGATTATTTGGTTTTCAAAATATCCTACTCTCTCTTTGATGCTTTTAGGGTTCTTGAGTCATTTCAATTACATATTCAATCCATAATATCCTTCATATTGTTATTCTTTCATTTCAATATCTTAAAAGGTCCAATCCAGCTTTGTATTATGAGTCTTATTGATTCTTCCTACATCTTCTAGCTTTTATTATAGTCTCATTTTATTTTATTTATTTATTTTAAATACCTTTTTTATTGATTTCAGAGAAAAAGAGAAAGGGAGAGAGATAGAAACATCAATGATGAGAGAAAATCATTGATCGGCTGCCTCCTACACGCCTCCTACTGTAGATTGAATGAGCAACCCAGGCATGTGTCCTGACTGGGAATCGAACAATAACCTCCTGGTTCATATCTCCACATTCAACCACTGAGCCACACCTACTGGACTATAATCTCATTTTAAGGCCTGAATTTTTTGGAATGTCTCTCCAGAAAGACTTTATATTACTTTCTGTAAAAATTTCAGGGGTATCGACATTCTGATACCAATTTTCATGTTGACCTTTCACCTTTCACTACAGTGCAAATTTAATCCAAAATGTATTCTGTCCAAATAATGTTAACATTCAAATAAAAGTTGGGCCCAGACAGTATGGCTCAGTGATTAAGAGTAAACATATGAACCAAAGGCTACTGGTTAAATTCCAAGTCAGGGTAGCACATACCCAGGTTATAGCTCAATCCCTAGGTAGGAGGCGTGCTGAAGGCAGCCAATCAATGATTTTTCTCGTTGATTTTCCTCTCTCTCTATCCTTCTCCCTTTCTCTCTCTAAAAGTCAATAAAAACGTGTTGGGGTTTTTTTTTTGTGTGTGTGTGTGTGTGTGTGTGTGTGTGTGTGTGTGTGTGTGTGTGTGTTTAGTTGGGTCATATTAATCATTTAATAGGATTAAAATATGAACAAAATTGGTCAAATAAAAGAGGGGAAAAAATATACCTTTTCAGCAGAAGAACCTGTCAGGACAAACGTTGAAAAAACTGGAAGTGGGTATTTGGTTTGGGGATCCCAACATTCAATAGTAGCTCCCATAGGAAGGCAGAAGAGAGGTACAGATTCTGAGAGTGGAAATGACTCATAATCATCTTCCGGATATCTAAAAATTAAACCTTTTGGAGAAAGGAGACAATGATAAAATTTTTCTAAATAGTTACTTTTCCATAAAGTATATGTGATACATTGTTAGGATATTTTAACAGCAAACTTCATGGAAATATTTGTGTGAAATTCCAAAATCAATTTTTCTCTTGTCATATCAGAAATTTTACTAATTTAACCAATTTACCCTTTTCTTTTGGACTATGGACTTTTAGTTCATAAAACGTACTAAATATATTAGTTAAACTCTATAGGATCACAACACTTAATGTATTTTCTTCTACAAACTACCAACATCTTATAGGAATGGTTAAGAAACACACAGGAAAATTTATCAACTATTTCAGTTAGTCTTCTATAAAAAATTCAGGGAAGGAACAAGTATTATGAAAGAACACCAAGGAAACAGAATTATCACAGTCCTTAAATTCACCTTGAGAGAGAAGCACTATAAAAGGCATGCAACATGAAAAGTAAATGAGATAGAAACCCTTTGTGACTGAGTCCAGAGTATGAGACCAAGGAAGTAGGAGTAGGAGGGGGTACTCTGAGAACATAACATAGCCCCTTCCTAATCAAGTAGCTACATGTCATTAGTTGGTTAGCCTCTAGCACACCACATCCAAGATAAATACTTGAAAATCAGTAGCAGATTTCTGAGTGCAAATTCAATCTTCCAAACTCTGTATTTTAAAATATATGTCTTATATAAAATAGCTGAATATTTTCACGCTTGTTTCTGTAAGATTTTTTTTAAAGTGACACTCTCTCCCCACCAAAAAAGTATTTTTTTAAGAAAATCACATACAATCAATACATTACAGTAAATGTTAACAGTATCACATTTTAAATGATACTGAACTTGTAATTTTTATATTATTAAATAGTTTAAACCTTTAATATGAATGTCTTTATAAGGAAAATCAACATTTTTCAGATATAAATTTGCCTAGTTTCTTTGAAGTAAAACTTTATTAAAAATAATGTGCATGATCAAAATGTATTTGACACTGCTTATTTTCACAAAGAAGAATTCCAGTATTTCTCTTCTATTTACAACTGGAGCATACCTGTATTTTCAGTTTTTATCCCACCATACCAGCGGGATGAAGAGGTCACACTTAAATCTTTACAGCCCTTGACACTTTACTGTGCAGTAAGAATGTGGCGATAGATTTCTCAAACACTTCATGGCAGAAAAGTTTCTCAGGCCCTCCTGTCCTCCATATAGCTGATTCTTTGCAACAAGGGAGAAAGGAAGCAAGTCCACCTTTCATGGCAAGTAACATGTGGTTTCAAATCAGACACAAAGAGATAAGAGAAGGAAATATAAGAAGTAAAGATGCAATTTGACACCTTTCTGATTGCCAAAATATAAAAGATCAGAGAGTAAGCACTTTTCCACTGAACTGTTAATCTATTAGTATAGACTAAACAGCTGCATGTTTATTCTACAAATGCCTGCTTGAGATGAAAGTTCCTATTTAATTAATAACACTTTTTGGGGAGACAATATTAATATATCTTACAATGTGTAATGTATGTAAGAAAATAGTTATGCCTTTACCTGCTAAAATTACAGATAATTCCATTTATGAATAGGTCAATTCCACAAACTACATAAGGAAGCATACATTGCCTTTCCTAACGAAATGTTAATGTGCAACAATAACTACAGTAATAGAGATAATTTTTTTTTAAGTTTACTTACCAGCTTTATACGCTAGTGAATTAGAAGCAGGTACAGACTTCTTATAACATAGAAACACACTGGAACCCCACTGTAAAATATAAATTAGGTTTTAAAAAAAGACGAAATAGAAAAAGTTTATTTTGTTGAATATCTTTTAAAGATTCTGATTATTTATTCAGGGAGTCTCTTTAAAGCATGTTTATCAAAACAGACTATAATAATAAAAGCATAATATGCTAATTAGACCAGACATCCTTCTGGACGTCCTTCCAGATGAAGCTGGGGCTGCGAGGGAAGCCCAGGTCTCAGGTGCTAGCCAGCAGCCAGAGGGAAGCCTGGGATCTGGAGCCGGAGGGAAGCCAGTGCTGGCAGCCAAGGGAAGGAAGGCCTACGCTTGCACGAATTTTGTGCAGTGGGCCTCCAGTATAGTATAAAAAACAGCAAAACATGAAGTTGAGAACATTGGAAGAGTAAAATAACATTGCCACCAGTTTCAAAAAGTTTAGTTTCAAAAAGTTCAAATTCTGTAGAATCATCCGGAACTACATATATTTGAAAGAGACAGAAAAAAACTAGAGTGGAAATCAGAATCCAAACGAGGAAAGATTGAGGTCACTAGGATGCTATAAGTCATTACCTCCAGAGGCAAATCTGTCCTAATAACCATGGATGCATCAGACCTTTCTATCTATATCACAAACTAATATTAGTTTGATATAAACATATTTTTCAAGATAAATCTGATCCAATAGTAAACTTTAGTCTCATTAAACTATAGATAAAATGTATATGTTCAATTCTTTTCTTCATTAGATCACTCTTAAAAAATAAGTATGTATGGGCTTAGTGCATAGAGTGCTGGACTGTGGATGGAAGGATCCCAGCATCGATTCTGGTCAAGGGAACATACCTTGGTTGCAGGTTCCTCCCTGGCCTGGGACCCTGGTCAGGGCACATGCTGGAGGCAACGAATCAATGTTTCTCTCACATTGATATTTCTGCCTTTCCCTCTCCCATTCTCTCTAAAAATCAATGGGAAAATATCTTCAGGTAAGGATTTAAAAAAAGTAAATTTGCTTAAAGTATATAGTTATGTGTGTGTGTATCATATGTGTGTGTGCAAAGCCCACTGGTATGGCTCAGTGGTTTAGCCTCAACCTATGAACCAGGAGGTCAACAGTGCAATTCCCAGTCAGGGCCCATGCCTGCATTGTGGGCTAAATCCCCAGTAGAGGGTGCGCAGGAAGCAGCCCATCAGCGATTATCTCTCCCTTCCACTCTGAAACCAATAAAAATGGTTTTTAAAAAAAGTTTTAAAAAAGGATCTCTATATATAAAAGGCTAATATGCAAATTGTCCCCGTGGGAGTTCAAGCAGGAGACCAGGAGATCGCTCGCTATGAGGTGTGCTGACCACCAGGAGGCAGCGTGAAACAAAGGAAGGTTCTGGCCAGCAGCCAGCAGGCCCCAAACAGCCCTGATTGCCAACCAGGCCTAGTGACCCTATCTGTGCACGAATTTTGTGCACTGGGCCTCTAGTTTAAAATAAATATATATAAGAGAGTCCCCATCCAGACTCCCTGCAGTTTTCCTTTAAAAAAAAAAAAAAACACACACAATATTGATACCCAAGCTAATTAAACCTCTAATCAGCATAATAAAAGCAATATTAGTATGCAATGCCCCCAAAAAACTCCTGGCTTTATCTATTTTCTTTTTTTTTTAAATATATATTTTATTGATTTTACACAGAGAGGAATTGAGAGGGATAGGGAGTTAGAAACGTCGATGAGAGAGAAACATCGACCAGCTGCCTCTTGCACATCCCCTAGCAGTACCTATTTTCTGAATAAAATTATTCTAAAGTATCAGATAGCTAAAGATTTTTAAATTATTATGAATCATTAAAAATTAGAAAGCTAAAAGTAATAAAAATCATGAAAATATAAACTGAGAGTAAATTATATGCTTAATAATCAACAGGAATCCAAAAAAATATGAAACTTTATTCTTACCATTCCACAATTTAAGTTTTTGTCAACTTTGCAGAAAGTATGAGGAGGGGTTTCTCCTTTACTCGTTACAATAACACAGATATCAGTTACAGCCAAGGAATTCTGGGGCCGAACTGGAGAAGCCCTTCGATAAGTGATAAAGATTCTTTGTGAAGTAGTTGAACTATTGTTGACATTGGCACAGCGACCATAGGGTGTGGCTTGGATCACTTCACATCCTGAAATGAGCCTTTCTTTTCCTTCATATAGAACTCTGCATGACAGGAAGGGGAGAAATAGAAAAGTAAATAAAGTTCAATTTAATGCTGGTTTTAATTTTGGAAAAAATAATTGGTCTCTTCTAATGTTTCTCAAATCTTATTTGCAAACAAAAACTAAAATTATTAGTTTGGGAAATATAAATCTCTTTACTATTTTTCAACAGCTAGAAGTATAAATAAAATCAAAGAACTTGATTTTTTTATTGCTTATTACAAGAAGCATATGAAACAAGAAAAGGGTAACACCGCAAACATGCTCAGGTCAATTCTTAGAGAACAAGTCTTCAGATGTTTTCACAAAATTTTCCTTCATAATTCCTATCAAAATTTTACCCTTAAAACTCCTTTATTTATTGGATGAGTTAAAAAATAAAAAATAAAAAATATATCTCATCATGAGGTCATGAATCAGCAACTTTAATATAGTAAAATGTCAGTATTTCCCAAACAGATCTATAGAGTCAATACAGTTCCTAAGTCCTAGTTGCCTTTTTAAATAGAAATCAGCAATGTCCAAGTTCAAATGGGAATGGAAGGGAACCCATGCAGCCAAAGCAATCTGGGGGGAAGCAGGACAAATTTGGAAGACTTGTACTCCCTCATTTCAAAACTTAACTTCCATTACCTTTTCTGCATGTTTGAACACAAAATAAAAAATGCTGAAGAAAAATACTAATTTAAAAGTCAATGAATCTAATCAGTGGAGAAGAATCTTGGATAGTAGTCTGATTCTTTATCTTAATAAACATATCTGACATGAATATATTATCCTGTCCTAGCCAGTTTGGCTCAGTGGAAAGAGCCTGCAAACTGAAGGGTCCCAGGTTCTAGTCAAGGGCACAGGCCTAGGTTGCAGGCTCAATCCCCAGTGTAGGGCATGCAGGAGGCAGCCGATCAATGGTTCTCTCTCATCATTGATGTTTCTATCTTTCTCTCCTTCTCCCTTCCTCTCTGAAATAAAAATATATTTTAAAAAAATGAACTGCAAAATAATAATTTTTAAAAAAGAGAACATATTATCCTATTAAATTATACTTTATAGAGTATTTAACATTGTGAGGGAATATCAAATCTTATTTAACAACTTACTTTCAGGGGGGAAAAAAGTATTATTTTTGTAAATATCTCAGTTTGTAAATCAGTCAAAAAGGTCAAAAGTTGACCCTTTTAAATATGAAAAAGTTTCATATTTAAATGAGGTAGGTGCTTAAACTCCAAAATATAAAGTACTCATATAACTCAACAAAAGGAAAACAAACAATCCAATTAAAAATGGACAGAGGACCTAAATAGTGGCTAATAGGTTTTCTAAACCTCACCAATGTGCTTAAGGGGCAAGGGAGTGGAGGGGGAGGCAGACAGGTTAAAACATTTAAGTCACCAGATATTAACAATTATTTGATCTAGAGAAAAATATTTAATCATCATGATGAGCTAAAAGACAACCATACACTCTAATAAGCCTCGATCAGTAAAATACTGTAACAGAAATTAAATGTCTTGCTGTAGCCAGTTTGGCTCAGTGGATAGAGTGTTGGCCTGCAGACTAAAGGGTCCCAGATTTGATTCTGGCCAAGGACATATGCCCTGGTTGCAGGCTCAATCTGCCCTCCCACAGTAGGGGCATGCAAGAGGCAGCCAATCAATGACTCTCTCATCGTTGATGTTTCTTATATTTCCCTTTCTCTCTGAAATCGAAGAAAAAAAAGTATATATTTTTAAAAAATAAAAAAAGTAATATGGTCCCTTAAATGTTAAAAAATAAAGAAATTAGATGTTTTAGGGATCTGCAAGATATATATAAAGAGCTACTTGCAACCTGAGAATATCTAAGTATAATTATCTAAGTCATCATTTTATTTTTAAGTTGTGTCACTGAACCACAAGCAACAACAATCTTTTAGAGATTTGCATCCTTTCTATTATGACTGTAGAGGGAGTGGGGGAAGATGTGAAAAGATGGCCTTTAAAGGATGGCTAAGAGAGGGAACAGTGAGGGCTAGAACATAAGTCCCTGCCTGGTTTTCCTTCAACTGACATGGATATTATCAAAATTTTATTCTATATTTTATTTTATTTTATATATATATACACACACACACACACATACACACACACACACATATTACCTATGTTCTTAAGACAACCCATAGAGAAAATTGTTAAAAACTGAGAGTAAATCCATTACATGTCCAGAACCATTCCACCTCAATCAATAATTGGTGTTCACACTCATTTTAACCTCCTTTTCCCTTCTCAAAGGAAAAGCACCTCCATGAAAGGCTAATCCAGTCATCCATGCTATTGCTATTACTCCTTTAATCTATTTCATAATTAATACTACCTGTTACTCCTATTAATATATATCAGCTCTTCTTTCTCAACTTGTTTCTTGCCTTTAATATAAAGATGTTCCAAGTTATTTATCTCCTGGAAGAAATGTTAAAAAACAGCCCTGACTCTGCATCCCCTTGCCCCTCAGGTGTCCTAAAGCATTACTTCTGAGAATTTTGTTAAAATACATATTCTGATTCAGTAAATTTGGGTAGTGCCTAAGATTCTGAATATCTAACATGCTCACAGGCCCTATGGACAATACACCTTGAATAGCAAGATCCATAACTATCTTCTCTTTTCCTTAAAGTCAAGCTTTCAAAAAGAAGCCTCTATGACTCCAAGTGCCAATCATTTCTCAACCCTTTCTAACATGGCTCCTGTAACTAATCCTATATAATAAAGAGGTAATATACAAATTGACCATCACTCCAATACACAAGATGGCCACCACAAGATAACCAGCAGGAGAGGGCAGGTGGGAGGGGCCAGGCCTCCGAGGGCAGATGGGAGTAATCAGGCCTGCAGGAGAGGGCAGTTGGAGGGGACCAGGCCGGCAGGGGAGGGCAGTTAGGGGTAATCAGGCTGGCAGGGGAGCAGTTAGGTATTGATCAGGCTGGCGGAAAAGTGGTTAGGTGATCAGCCTGGCAGGCAGAAGCAGTTAGGGGCAATCAGGCAGGCAGGCAAGCTGTTAGGAATCAGCAGACCTGGATTGTGAGAGGGATGTCTGACTGCAGCAGACCTGGATTGTGAGAGGAATATCAGATTGGAAAGGGTACAGGCTGGGCTGAGGGACACCTGCCTCCCACAGGCACAAATTTCATACACAGGGCCTCTAGTGATCCTATAAAGTTGTATGACTACAATCCTAATTGCACTGACTTGAAGGAAAATGATGGAAGCTAAACAGGGTGGATACTAAAAGAGTTAAAAGGGTGGTGCTGAAAGGTCCATCTTTTAGCTTTGGAAAGTTAAACATAATAAGGTCCTTTGGCCAGGCCTGTGTGGTTCAGTGTTTGAGCGTAGACCTATGAACCAGAAGGTCTCAGTTTAATTCCCAGTCAGGGCACATCCCCAGGTTATGGGCTTGGTTCCCCAGTGAAAGGTATGCAGGAAACAACTAATCAATGATTCTCTCTCATCACTGATGTTTCTCTCTCTCCCTCTTCCTTCCTCTATCTGAAATAAATAAATAAATTTAAAAATAAAGACCTTAGGATAATTTCACCAATTATCTACTACAGAGCTCTACTATAACACTGGAGGAGGTAAAGAGCACAACAAGTAGTAGTCAAATGCAGCAGCTTGTTACCTTTCTTAGTACAGTATCTGAACAACCATCAACAGAATAACCAGCAGCCAACTGCTTAAAAATAATTCATGGAGCTCAAGCCAGTTTGGCACAATGGATAGAGTGTTGGCCTGTGGACTGAACGGTCCCAGGTTCGATTTCCATCAGGGACATATGCTGGGGTTTGGGCTCGGTCCCCAGTAGGGGGCATGCAGAAGGCAGCTGATCAATGATTCTCTCTCATCATTGATGTTTCTAGCTCTCTCTCCCTCTCCCTTCCTCTCTAAAATCAATAAAAGTATCTTTTTGAAAAACACAAAAATAATCCATGGAATAATCAGGAAAATTTGTATATGATGATACTAAGTAATTAATAACTTTTTGAGATGTGGTATTATAATTACATTAAAAGAGAGCTTGAACATAAGAAAATCAATTGATATAATACATCACATAAATAGACTAAAGGAAAAGTCCACATTATCATCTTAACAAAGAAAAGGCATTTTGCAAAATTCAACATTTTCATGATAAAACTCTCTCATAAAAACAAGAGTAAAGGGAACCTTCCTTAACATAATAAATGGCATCTATGAAAAACTCGCAGCTCACATCATATTCAATGGTGAAAGACTGGATGCCTGCTTTTACCACTGCTTGTTCAATGTTGTGCTCTAATTTTTAGCCAGAGCAATAAAACTAGGGGGCAAATAAAGCAAATTGCAAAGGAAGAAATAGAAAATCATCACTATTTGCAGAGGACTTGATCCTATCATTTTTAAAAATCCAAATGAAAGCTATTAGAGCCACTAGATTCAGCAAACTTGCAGGGTTCCAGATGGCAATACTCTCCAAATAGACCTACAAATTAAATGCAATCCCCAGGAAATTCCAACAGAGTGTTTTATATAAAGGGACAAGCTGATCCTAAATATTTTCCAAGATACTCAAGAACCTATGTTTTTACTAACTGATGGTAACTGTAATAAACAGAACAGTGTAATACATTGCGTGTATATATGGACAAATATTATAGCTATTCTAAAAATATGTTTGGATAAAATGCTTTTGCAGAGAAAACTGTTCATTAGCTGTGGATTAGGTAGTAACTATCTCCTAACAACTATTCTTCTAAACTGTAAATACCCTTCCTGTGGTACTAAAAACCACAAAGCACAGTCATATTTTTTAAAACAGAAATACCACTTTGTTAAATAAGTTCAGGGCTTTGAAAAAAACCCATCACATAACCCAAGTAGCTCCTAAAACCCCCCCAAAAAAACTGTCTTTTATTGTACCTTCTTATTCTTTTATATTTAATTAATAACCTTATCTGATAAGTACAACAGAAATGGAATCACATTTCAGGCTCTATGTTTTCATTTCAGCAATTTTTAAAGGAATTGATTTAATGATTTAAGTACAATGCAAAGAAATTCAGTAAGGGTGGACAGGTACTTGAACCTGAAATAACAAATAATAATAAAACTATCAAGGACTTCAAATTCCTATTCTCATGCACCTTAAATAAAAAATTTTCCCTTCACTATAGCAAAAGAAAATAAGTCATGGTACCCAATGTCGGTAAGGGGTGGTTTATCTCTTCCTCTTTTATAACAGAGAAAAAGTTCTGGGCTTTTCAGACTTCCATAGTTCAAATTTGCTTGGAGAGCTGATGGAGTGGCTTCAACACAAGTATAACCTTCAGGTACTGTTTCCCCAGCTGATTTGTTAATAACTGCAATGTCTATAATTGGAGCTTTAGGTCCAGTTGACTTAGTATCGAAACGATTTATTTCTTGATCCAATAGAGTAGATGTATCAGTGAGACCTGCCACGACAAAGTAGTCGGTCACTCTTGGCCCTTTGTCTTCTATCATGGCTGCTATTATATTTCCTAGAAGAGGGGGAAAAAATCAATTAAATAAAATACTTTATGCTGGCTCTCTAAAATTAAAGTATTCCTGAGTTAACAGTGATCAACTAACCCACTTCCCACCTGGATTTATAATCAAACTAGAAGCCCAGTGCACAAAATTAATGTGGGGGGGGGGGGGCGGGAAGGGGGAGAAAGGTAGGTAGAGGCCCCTCAGCCCAGCCTACACTCTCTCCAATCCAGGACCCCTTGGGGGAATGTCCAACTGCCTGTTTAGGCTTTGATCCCAGGGATTAGGCCTAAACCAGCAGTCAGACATTCCTCTCACAATCCTGGACCGCTGGCTCCTAATTGCTCACCTCTAACTGACACCCCACCCCCCCACCCGCAGCCTGATTGCCCCCGACTGTCTCTGAGTGCCAATCTAGTCGCCTCTAACTGCACCCTCCCTGCCAGCCTGGTCAACCCTACTGACTCCCTGCCTGCCTAATCATTCCCAACTATGCGCCCTCCCCCCCCCCCGCCCGCGCATCGCCCCCCCCCCCCCCCCCGCGTCGTGCCGTTGTCGTCGTGCCGCCCCCCCCCCCCGCCAATCTGGTCAGCTCCAAGTGCAACCCCTCACCAGCCTGGTCACCTCTTACTGCCGCCGCCCCCCCCCCCCTCCCGCCGCCAGTCTGGTTGACCCCAACTACCCCCCTTGCCGGCCTGGTCACCCCATGCAGCCTGCCTGTTCAGTCGTTTGATCATCCCTCACTAACCCCCCTGCCAGCCTGGTCATAGGCAACCATCTTGTGAGGGCATGAGGGTTAATTTTCATATTACTCTTTATTATATAGGATTGTTGTCATTCTATTAAAGCTTATGTTAGGATCATCTTATGAGCCTTTACCTCCTACAAAGTACAAATTTGGTGCATAAGTTCATTTGTAAGATTACTATGATCCTTTCATGTGCCTAAGCCTCTATTAAGAATGATCAAACTGGCCCTGGCCAGTTTTTCCCAGTGGTTAGAGTACCAACCTGCACACCAATGGCTCTCAGGTTCGATTCCCAATAAGGACATATACCTGGGTACAGGTTTGATCCCTGATCCCCAGCCCAGTTGGGGTGCATGTAGGAGGCAAACAATCAATGTATCTCTCTCACATTGATGTTTTTCTCTCGCTCGCTCTCTCTCCTCCCCTCCCTCCCTGCCTTCCACTCTCTCTAAAAATCAATGGAAAATAAATAATCAAACTATCAGAGGTGGGCTCTAGTGCTTTCCTTTGAGCAAAATGCACATAATAAACAATTTTTAGACCAATTAAAAAACCATTCTCTTTTAAAAGTTACAGAATTTCTACAGCTACACTTTACATTTTTTTAAAAATATATTTTATTGGTTTTTTACAGAGAGGAAGGGAGAGAGATAGAGCTAGAAACATCGATGAGAGAGAGACATCGACCAGCTGCCTCCTACACACCCCCGACCGGCAAGGTGCCTGCAACCAAGGTACATGCCCTTGACCGGAATCAAACCTGGGACCTTTCAGTCTGCAGGCTGACGTTCTATCCACTGAGCCAAACCAGTTTCGGCTACACTTTACATTTAAAAAGAGTTCATCATGAATTAGTCAAGGTCTAACTCACAAAAAGGAAAGGTAATGGTAATAAGTGTAACTAAATCACTATCTTAATCCAGTTAGGAGTCAGTCCCTTATAGTGAAGAAACTTTATGTAAACACCATATAAACTATATTTAGGAATATTTCATATATAAATACCAGACAGAGCATAAAAAACTATAAACAAAGAAGATACAATTATATAAAATACACATTAAGAGACTTGGGAACTACATGGTAAAAACCTAGAGAATATGAACTTTGAGTCAAAATTTCTATTATCTTTAAACTCAGTACCTTTAAAAATAAAATTAAGCTTCTGAGATTTTAGATATTTCCAAAGATTTTTATATGCTTTTCAAAAACAACTTTCTTGATAGGTATAATTTACATAAAATCATAAACATATTTACAGTGTACAATTTGGTAAGCTTTCATAAATACACCTGTCAAACCAGTAAACATATCCATCAACACCCAAAATTTTCCTGTACCCTTCATTATCCCTCTCCACCAAGAGGATGAATGATCTGCTTTTTATTATTACCATAGGCTGGTTTCTAGAATTGATATACATGGAATCATTATAGTATGTATTCTTTGTCTGGCTTCTTTCACTCATCATAATTATTTTGAGATTCATCTATCCTATTTTATGTAGGATAAAAAGCTCGTTCTTTTTTATTGCTGAATAGTACAATGTTAAATATGCCACAATATGTTTATCCATTCACCTATATAGTGGACGTGTTATTTTCAGTTTAGGGCTATTAAAGCTGTCATGAACACCAGTGTACAAACTCTCTGGACACATGCTTTCATTTATTGTTGGTCAATTTCTAAGATGAAATGGCTGGATCACCTGGTAGGTGTATGTAGTTCTAACAAACTGCCAAATTGTTTCCTAGAGTGAAGTACCATTTTACATTCCTACTATCAGTATATGAGAGTTCCAGTTGTTCCACATCCTCTCCAACACTCTATTAGGCCAATCTTTTAAATTTAGACATTCTAATATATCAATAGTGAAACTTAACTATAGTCTTAATTTGCATGATACTAACTAGGGATGAGGATCATCTTTTTATTTGCTTATTTTCCATTCATATATTTTTTATAAAGTTTGTTCAAATCTTTGCCCATGTTTTCATTGAGTTGTTTGTTTACTAATTATTGACTTTTGAAGATCTTTATATTTCTAGAGACAAGTCATTTACCAGGCATATGCTTTGCAAATATTTCCTCCCAATCTGTGGCTTTCCTTTAACTCTTACTAATGCCTTTTGAAAAGAAATTTTTAGTTTTAATGAGGTCCAATTTGTCAATCTGTTCTTTTATGAACCATGGTTGTGGTACCATATTTAAGAAATCACTGTTTAATCCAAGATCATAAAAGTTTTCTCTCAGGTTTTCTTTTAAAAGTTTTATGAATTTAGGTTTTACACTTAGGTCTGCAATCCATTTGGAGTAAATTTTTATATGGTGTAAGGCATGAGTCAAGATTCATTTTTTTACATAGTGATATCCATTTTAAAAATATATATATATTATTGATTTTTTACCGAGAGGAAGGGAGAGAGATAGTTAGAAACATCGATGAGAGAGGATCATTGATCAGCTGCCTCCTGCACACCTCATACTGGGCATGTGCCTGCAACAAAGGTACATGTCCTTGACCGGAATCGAACCCAGGACCCTTCAGTCTGCAGGTCAACACTATCCACTGAGCCAAACCGGTTTTGGCGTGATATCCATTTTTTTTTTTAGCATCACTGGTTGAAAGACCATCTTTTCTCACTATATCACCCATTTTCAAAGATTAATTTCCATTATTTGTTTTTATTTCTGAATTTTCTATTCTGTTCCATTGATCTATTTGGCTACATGTCTATTTTGATTGGACCTCATTTTGATTAATGTAGCTTTACAATAAATCTTGAAAACAGACAGTATTCATCTTCAACTCTGTTCTTTTTCAAAACTATCTTTGCAAGTGTCCTTTGCATTTCAATAAGCATTTTATTTTATTTTTTTTAATTGATTTTTTACAGAGAGGAAGAGAGAGGAATAGAGAGTTAGAAACATCGATGACAGAGAAACATCAACCAGCTGCCTCTTGCACACCCCCTACCAGGGATGTGCCCGCAACCAATGTACATGCCCCTGACCGAAATTGAACCCAGGACCTTTCAGTCCGCAGGCCGACGCTCTATCCACTGAGCCAAACCGGTTTCGGCTCAATAAGCATTTTAGAATTCACTTGTCAATTTCTAAAAAAAAAAAAAAAAAAGTCTAGCAAAATTTATTTGAGACTGCCAAATTGTTTCTAGAGTGATGTACCATTTTACATTCCTAAATTGGTAGGTCAATTTAAGGAAGATTGGCAATACTGAATCTTCTAACCCATGAAAAATGTTCAGTTCTGCATTAATGTAGATTTTTAAATTTTTTCTCTTATCAATATTTTATAGTTTACAACAAATAAGTCTCTTACTTCTTTTCTAAGATTGGCCCTTAAGTACTTATTTTAGATGCTACTGTAAATGATACTATTTCTTTTAAATCAGTTCCAATTATTCATTGCTACTATCTAAAAATACAATTGATTTTTTTTTGGCCTTTGATTTATTCCTTTCCCATGTTATTAAAATACCTTTGTAATTTTATCACTTCTATGTATTTTTAAAGTTCCTCTTTATGTACTCAGCAGTACATAACTAATTACCGAATTTCTATTTTAATTTTCATTACAAAATAAAAACAGGAGGCTTGAGGAAAGACAGTATAGTGATAATCCTATACAATAAAAACCTAATATGCAATGTCCCCTCGGGTGGTCCAACCACTTGCTACGGTGTGTGCTGACCACCAGGGGACAGCATGAAACATGGCAGGCATAGGCCACAGCCCCAGAAGTGCAGTGAGAATGCAGGGTGTCCACTGAGTTCAAGTTTGCTCTCACTCCCCCTGCCCATCCCTGCACCTGCACAGCCTCTTCCGGGTAAGCCAGGCTGCAGCTGTCAGGACCACAGGGGCCATTCGGGTTCACACAGAAGCCAGTCTGCAAGGCCGGCCAGGAGAGAGCACGCTGCCCACCCGGTTTCCATGCAGCATCACTGGGTGGCCCAGGGGCCCACGCTGCGCCCTGGCCTGCAGCATCCAGCCATGCTCACCACATCTCCCCATGGGGACTCAGGCAGAGGGGGGCGTGTGGGGGCCCGGAGGCAAAGGTGCTGCCCAGGAGCCAGAGGTCAGCTGGGATCTGCCCTTCCACGCCTGACGCTCGCGCTTCGATTGCCAGCCAGGCCTAGGGACTGCACCCATGCAGAATTTCATGGACCTGGCCACTAGTAGTACATGTATTTTTTTTAAATCATGTATCATTTTTTTTTCTTAAGGT